ATACATAGGAAAACAAGTAGCCAGGCGTGGTGGCTTATGCCTAGAATCCCAGCACTCTGGGAGGACAAAGTGGGAGGATTGTTTGAGCCCAGGAGTTCAAGATCAGCTTGGGCAACACAGTGAGACCTCATCTCTACAAAAAAGAAATTTTTTTTTAATTAGCAAAGTGTGTGGTTGCATGCCTAGTCCCAGCTACTTGGGAGGCTGAGGAAGGAAGAATGCTTGAGCCCAGGATGTCAAAGCTGCAGTGGGTCATAATCATGCCACTGCACTCCAGCCTGGGTGACAGAGTGAGACCCTGACTCAAAAAACAAAAAAAGATAAAAACAACAAACAAAAAACAAGTAATGGTGGAAGAGACATTTAAGAACAGCAAACATGCCAGGCATGGTGGCTCATGCCTGTAATCCCAGCATTTTGAGAGGCTGAGGCGAGAGGATTGCCTGAGCCCAGGGGTTTGGGACCAGCCTGGGCAACTTGGCAAGACCTTGTCTCTACAATAAATCAAAAAATTAGCTGGACGTGGTGGCATGTCCCTGTGGTTCCATCTACTTGGAAGGCTGAAGCAGAAGGATCTCCTGAGCCTAGAAGGTTGAGGCTGCTGTGGCCATTAGTGTACCACTGCACTCCAGCTTGGGTGACAGAGTTAGACTCTAACTAAAAAAAAAAAGAATAGCATTAATATTTAACATAAACTATAAGTATTACGTTCATACAAGTTCAGAAGAAATTTATGAAATCCTGAAGAGTTTGGAAAATCTTAGAGAAAATAAAACTTTATAGGTTATGATTTATAACATTCAAGAGGATATCACATAAAATCAGACAATTAGTAGTTGAATTACTGAAGTAAGAATTATAGTGATTATATTACACCCATTTGAAGCAGCCCAGCTAGACAAGGAAGTGTGTCTAAGAGGGAGAAATTAGGTAGGAAGACAAGGATGACTTGTGAAGGAATCTGAAAGCTGTCAGCCTTAAATAAAAGATTCAGAAAATATGATTAAGCACAGAATTTATTCAAGTGCAAAGCTTGAGAATGACCACCTGGAAACACTGACTCCAAATGAATGAATGGGGTCAGCTTCCAAAGATTTCACCTAGAAATTTTAGTAGGATCCCATTTTCCATACAAGACCAGCGAGTTCACCACAGTGATGTGATTGGTTAGACTGCTGCATTCATCACTGAGAGGAGGGACAGCGAGCCAAAGGGCCTTCTCCCTGGTGCTGCATGGACTTCATTTATTGGAAAAGAAGGCAGAAGTTGCAGTTGCACGCCAGGTGACTCAGCTGCGTAGACACATTTCTTTCAAGGTTCAACATAATTTAAAGTTCCAGTAGCTTTAAATTTGAAATGTTTAATTTCACAAAGCCAAGAAACAAGACTTAAATGCTACATGGTAACGAAAACCAAGGGGGTAGTAGCGGGGCGAACTGAACTCCTGGCTGGTGCGCACAGTGTGGACCCAAGATGCAGGTGAGGGGAGGCAGCAGCTGTCATCTTTGGGTCCAGCTGGGTAGGGCAAGATGGGCTGTCACCCTCACCATGTTCATCTGCTGGCTCGCCTGGGGCTGGGGCTGCACCTGGGGCCCAGCTCCTTCAGCTCCTGCTAGACTCTGCTCCAGCGGTCCTGGGCCACCTGCATGTCAACCCATGGCAGACATGATCCCTGAAGTGGGATGTTAAAGTAGTGAGACTGGCAGCTGTCCCCAGGGTCCCGGGTCACAATCCAGTCTGTCCCTGCATTTCCCACTTCACATACATTGCCCGTCTCCCATTTCATACCCCATTGCCATTCCTCCTGCTTTATACTCTGCACCCTTCTCCCACTTCACTACTGCTCCTCTGCATACTTCATACTCTGTGCCCCTTTCCCACCTCACACCCCATGGCCCCTCCTCACACTTCACACTCTGCACCCTTCCTCCCTTCACACATTGCCCCTCCCCCACTACACACCTCACTGCCCCTTCCCCTTCATACTCTTTGCCCTTCCCCCCAGTTCACCCATTGCTCCTCCCCACTTCACACCCCAATGGCCCTCCCCACACTTCATTCTCTGCCCCTTTCTGACAGTCTGTGCTGTGGGTTTCAGTCTGTGTCACCAAACACAGAAACAACTGCCTCACATAGATCCTCTAATCAGATCCTCTAGATTATGCGAGGTCCAGCTCAACAACAGACTCCGTTTATCTCTGAAGGTTTGCCTTTCTGATTGAACCTGTCTGCTGAGAGGTTAAAAGAATTCTCAAATTGTGTATGCATAATAGTCACCTGAGTGTTTGATTTTAAAAATGCAAATGTTCATGTTCTAGCGCAGAGACTGCAATGATAGGTCTGGGATAGGCCTAGGAGTTAAGTTTTAAACAAGTGTCCTCTGTAATTCTAATACAGAGGACCTACCAGTCACACTTTGAAAATCACAGAAAGAATGTCAATTGACATACACTTTTGGGACATTAGCCTTAAGTGCTCATCCAAGCAACAGGTACCAACAGGAAAAAAAGGAAATTGACCAGGGCAGTAACTGAGACATTCTGGCAATAAAGACTGCTGTCCTACTAAGCTGCCTATAGTCCCCTCAGGTAGGCTTGTAATGCCACTCAAGCAGGAATGACAGCTTCTAATCTTTACAAAGGCTAAAAAGCTGCCCTTTTCAGGCAAAGAACATGACTCAATAATCTGAAGAAAGCTACCCAAATGATGGGTGGCTGAGTTGCTCTAGGGGCCACACAGCAGCATTCTGAACTAGGTCATGTGGACCCCACAGCTGAAACCACGTTCAAATTCCACAGCAATACTTGGTTAAAATATTTTAGCTGACGATGGGGAAAAGACATCATGAAACACCAGTTATGCACCATCAATCATAACTCAATCTGCAGAACTTCCCTAGAAACCCTGGGAGATGAGAACCTTATAGAAAAGCCTAGACATACACATTTATATAACTTAAAATAGTAAAAAACAGAATTCCTAAATCAATGGGAAATGCTTTAGAAAAAATAAAATATACCTAGTTTATATAAAAATGAAAAACGTGTATTTTTTTTTTTTTGAGTTGGAGTCTCTACCGCCCAGGCTGGAGTGCAGTGGCACGCTCACAGCCACCCTAGCGTGGATCTGCTGGGCCTCAGTGATCCTTCTGCTTCAGCCTTCCAAGTAGCTGGAACTACAGGCACATGCTACCACGCCCAGGTAATTTTTTAATTTATTGTAGAGATGAGGTCTTGCCCAGTTGCCTAGGCTGGCCTCAAACCCGCAGACTCAGGCAATCCACTGGCCTCGGCCTCCCAAAGCGCTGGGATTACAGGCTGAGCCACTGAGCCCGGCCAAAAACATGTATTTTAAGTGGGATAAAATCTAGTTTTTAGTTGGGACATTGTGATAGCTAATCTGAGGTGTCAACTGGACTGAATTAAGGGAAGCCAAGATAGTAAAGCATTATTTCTGTGTGTCTGTGAGGGTTTCTGGAGACTGGCCTGAGTGGGGAAGGTTCACCCAAGTGTGGGCAGGCACCACCCAACACAACGGGGCTGGACAGAACACAAAGGCCAAGGAAAGAGGAATTCACCCTCCTTTTCCCTCTTGGAGCCTTCTGTCCTTGGACATCAGACCTCCAGGTCCTGGCTTTTGGACTTTGAGACTTGCTCAGCCCCTCCCTCACATCCTACCCCTTGCTCTCAGGCTATTGGGCTTAGACTGAGTCACACTACTGGCTACCCTGGTTCTAAGGCCTTCCCGGGGCCTCCGCTTTCAGATGGCCTGCCATGGGACTTCTCAGTCACAATCATTAACTGAGCCAAGGTCCCTAATAAATCCCTTCTTCTCATCTCTCTCTATAGATCTATTGGTTCTGTTATTGAAGAACCTTGACAGACATTGTAAGAAACACCATGTTCCCAGTGCCTATGACAGCAAGTGGTGTTTGCAAAATGAATTTTTTCAATTTTTACAATATGTATCTACTAGGACATTTTAAAACTCTGAATTATTTTTAACAAGAGGCAAAATAAACAAAAGTGGGTATCTAAAATTAACCACCAACTTAGTAAAATCCCATCACACCACAGGTGGTTCTGCTACAAAGAAAATTCTGACTCCTCAGTTATGTACAATTTGACTTGTTCAGTAACAAGACAATTACCCAAATATAAAGGAATCAGAATGTATTTATTATTTATTTTCATTTTTGGGGTTGGGGTCTCACTCTTGACGCCCAGGCTGTAGTACAGTGGCACACTCATGGCTCACCATAGCCTTGGCCTCCTGGGCTCATATATGATATGTCCCATATCAGCACCCCAGGCAGCTGGGACTACAGGCATGCACCACTATGCCTGGCTAATTTTTTTTTATTATTGTAGAGACAAGGTCTCACTGTTGCCCACACTGGTCTCAAATTCCTAGGCTCAAGAAATCTTCTTTCCTGGGCCTCCCAAAGTGCTGGTATTACAGCCATAAGTCACTGTGCCTGGCCAAAGTGTATTTAATAGTTCTAAAACAAAAAAAAAATCCCTTAATTCTATCAAAATTTAGGTCTTAATTATAACATTACTGAAGTGCTTATAAAAATTATACCAGATTTCTAGCTAATGCCTGTGTAAAGAGCTATTTGCTTTTAAATTTTTCTTTATTTTTAGAAGATTTTTCTTCAAAACAGCCATTCCATTTGCTTAATAGTCCCAGGAATGAAAAATCTGAAGATACTCCATTTGCACTCATTAAATCTTAACAAAACTCCCCTTTCTGGGTGGTTTAAAGGTCCCTTCAGGCAAGCTGGTGGACTAAGAGCCTACCTCATAAGGTAAGCTGGCCCAAGAGATCAACTTTTACAGATAAATTCCTTGCTCATAAGGGTAAGGAAAAAGTGACGTGACTCATACTTAAAATACAAAAATACCTCTGGAAAGATAGAAAAGCGTGGGAAGAAGGTAGAAAATGAAAAGAAATTCTACTTCCGAGATCTTACTTAGAAAAGACACGTTATAACAAAATGAGTACTTCATGTTTTTTAATAAAGAAATGTGTCCAACAGCCCCAAGGTACAAAACTAACCAGTTCATAACTGGTTAGCAACACTACCACACAGATCAGTCCTTCCTCAGGGACACAGTCTCCTCCCTGATGCCCTCTTTGGTTACAATGCAGATCCTAAGTGCGTCCCCAGTGTACACGTCTCTCTCGGCTGCAGAAATGAAGACGTCTTTCACCAGCCGCATGGCTCTGTCCAAGGACAGCGGGACGTGCTCCACGTTCTGCATGTTCTTAAAACCAACCTGGTGGGACAGGAAACTGATGTGAGGTGTCATGTGACAATAAGCACAAAGGAAGGTTCCCAGTACTCTCACCTGTCTGAAGAGTCACAACAAAAATACCACACAAATGTCCCTCAGACTGAATAAAGACTCATCCATAGTTGCTCATGCCTGAAATCAGATGTTCAAGATCAGGCTGTGGTCGCCATGCTTTCCTAAGCTTTGGCCTCCTCCTCTACCTTGGGGAGGTGAATCTTCTCTCTCTCTCTCTCTAATTGACTTTCTAAATAAACGAAGAAGAAGGAGAGAGGATGAGGGAGGAGGGAGGAGTGGGGGGGGGGAGGAGGAGGAGGAGAAGAAGAAGAAGAAGAAGAAGAAGAAGAAGAAGTTCAAGATCAGTCTGGGCAACATAGCAAGACCTTATCTCTAAAAAAGAAAAAAAATTTTTTTTTTAAATAGCCAGGTGTGGTGGCAAGAGTCTGTAGTCTTAAAGTTACTTGGCAGAATGAGGCAGGAAATCGCTTGAGCCCAGGAGTTCGAGGCTGCAGTGAGTTGTGATCATGTCACTGTACTCCTGCCTGGGCAATACTGGGTAACAGAGGAAGACCCTGTCTCTAAAAAAATAAAATAAAACAAAATAAAGGCAGATCCAGATTTGGCTGTATTACACCCATCAGAAACCTGCCAAGTATTCCTGGTAAGGCTCCCACTCTTGAGGAGCACATGACCTAGAGAGGTGGACATATGTAAAGTGAATGTTCAGAGAATGTGCTATAACTAACAAAAACATAAGAGCCCCCAAACAGCCATCTGCTAAATATACTAGAAGAGGCTGGGCTCGGTGGCTCAGCCTGTAATCCCAGCACTTTGGGAGGCCGAGGTGAGTGGAATGCCTGAGCCTGCGGGTTCGAGACCCACCTGGGCAACTTGATGAGACCTCATCTCTACAATAAATCAAAAAATTAGCCGGGCGTGGTAGCGCACGCCTGTAGTTCCAGCTACTTGGAAGGCTGAAGCGGAAGGATCGCCGGAAACCAGCAGGTCGAGGGTGCGGTGGCCAGGAGCAGCCACTGCATTCCGGTCTGGGCGACAGAGTAAGACTCCAACTCAAAAAAAAAAAAATATATATATATATACACACACACACACACACACACACACTAGAAGAAAAAAGGATTCAGCAGAGAGGACAGCTGAACAGGCAGGTGTTGAAGGCTAAACTGAAGCTGAAGCACACAGAACATTCCAGACCAAACATGCAGGATGGAGTCAGAAAAGTTCATCTTTCCTTGGAAAAGTAGGGTCTGGGTGTAGTGTGCAGAAACAGGAGATGAAGCCAGTAAGCACTACACAGAGGAGTTGCTGCACACAACATATTCTAGAAAAAAGAGCAGGTGAATTAGGGAGGTAAGTTTTACAGGCAGAAAGAATGTTGGAAATCAATCCAATAATGCAGGTCTGAATTTAGCCAGCAGTCGTGGAAAAGAGAAAAATTAAAACACAGCCGAACCTTGAACAATAGTTTTGAACTGCTTGGGGCCTCTTATACACAAACTCATTTTAATAAAAATATTGACAAATTTTTGGAGACTTGCAGCAATCTGGATGCAGTATTAAATCCTAACTGCTGCCAGGCTTGGTGGCTCAGCCTGTAATCCTGCACCTTTGGGAGGCTGAGGTGAGTGGACTGCCTGAGCCCGCAGGTTCGAGACCCGCCTGGGCAGCGAGACCTCATCTCTACAATAAATAAAAAAATCAGCCGGGCGTGGTAGCGCGCGCCTGTAATTCCGGCTACTCGGAAGGCTGAGGCGGAAGGATCGCTGGAGCCCAGCAGGTCGAGGCTGCGGTGGCCGGGAGCGGCCACTGCACTCCAGTCTGGGTGACAGAGTGAGACTCCAACTCAAAAACACACACACACACAAAACAACAACAACAACAACAAAATCTTAACTGCCTAACATCATGGTGGCACCTGAGCTACTATAATAACCTCGTGGCCAGCTACCTCCTCTTGCAATCACGGTAGCTCAAGTGTTGAGAGCATCCATGTAAAACACCGTGTGACACTAATCAACTCCATGTGAGCAGTTGGTCTCTCCAGTAATTGTGTATCATCATAAAAAGTGATCTCTCAAAGCTCTCACGTATTTCTATTTATGTGTTTAGTGCAATACCATAACCCTAATGAACACCATGGGACCTGTACAAAGCACCATTAGTGATGCTTAAAGTGCTTCCAAGAAGCAGGAAGGGCATTACAAGAACAAGCTGAATTGCTTGATATGTACCACAAACTGAGGCCTGCAGCTGCTCACCACTTCAGATAATTCATCTTATAAACAGATGAGATAAACATACAGGATCAATGTAGTACAGTACTATACATGTATTTTCTCTCCTTTGTGATTTTCTTAGTAACACTGTCTCCTCTCTACCTTATTAGAAGAATATAGTATACGATATATATAACATACACAATACTGTGCTATTTATGTTCTTGGCAAGGCTTCCAGTCAATACACGGTATTGGTATTAGTAACGTTCTCAGGGAGTCAAAAGTTACATACATGGCTTTTCAATTGCCCAGGGATCAGTGGCCCAACCCCTATGCTATTTAAGGGTTGAATGCATTCCTTGGAGTTAGAATACAAAATGAGATGCCAAAGATATGGCAAGCAAGGGGAAGAAAGGCATTTTCACCTTAAGGTAAAAAAAGATGGCAAGAGAAGGCTTGAAAGCATGGCCTAGCCACTGCAGACATAAGAGACTTGAAAGTCATGAGAATACAGGGAAAACATCAAATCCCACAGGAGAACAGGAATAATACACACAGAGAGATGGGAAGGCCTGGATAGGGCAAATCATCCAAACAAACTCAGCAGCAATTTATAAGAAAGTCTTCATATCTCTGTTCTCCTATGCTAATGAGGAGAACTTGGAGGAAAGCACTTTATTTGAACATCGTGACAACCTGGACACAGTTTTCATTACCTGGTTGTCAAGCAGGGGCTGAAGCATGGCACTCGCTGAGCCTCCAGCCTTGAAGGAGTCTCTCTGGTAGGACCCCACTGGGTCAAAGCTGTACACAGCTCCCTTCCCTTAAAGAAGAAAAGTCTTCATGAGAATGGTATCCTAAGCAATCCAAGCATGCTAAAAATACACCCAGTTAAAACAGCATAAAAACAAACTGTCAACTTGGCTAAGATTTCAACAACCAGAACACAATCACTGTTATACAGGTGACATTCAGAACATACTATTGTACAGGGAGACAGAATACTGTCACACAGGTGATAGAACACAGTCACTGTTGCTGTTGAATAGGTGACAGAACAGTCACTGTTACATAGGTAATGGAACAGTCATTGTCTCACAGGTGACAGAACACATTATCACTGTTGAATAGGTGATAGAACTTAGTCAATGTTGCAAGAGTGACAGAATAGTCACTGTTGCAAGGGTAATGAAACACATTGTCAATGTTGTCTAGGTGACAGAAAAGTCACTGTTGCATGGGTGACAGAACACACTGTCGTATAGGTGACAGAACAGTCACTGTTGCACAAGTGACAAAACACAATCACTGTCACACAGGTGATGGAATACATTGTCACTATTGTGTAGGTGGTTAGTCAGAACATAGTTACTGTCACAAGGGTGACAGAACAGTCACTGTCACTGTTATACAGGTGGTAGAAAACAGTCACAAGGGTGACAGAACAGTCACTGTCACATGGGTGATGAAACACATTGTTGCTGTTGTACAGGTGACAGAACACAGTCACTACTGCACAGGTGCCATCTAGCAGACAGCCCAGCTCCTCACTGATGCTCTTAACCTCCACCGACCAAGCTGGAAATGTGCTCAGAGGCAAGAGGCTCACACACTGACAATCAAACACTGTGGCCAAACTGCCTGCCACACACAACTCTATGCATTCTTCAAGCTCATATCACCAATTAACCATCCTGTGGCCCCCAACATGTAGGTGGCTTCAAAGATGCACTGGCTAATGGCCACAGGTCCTGCTCTAAGTTCTAACCAACCTCATGACATTCCTTAAAAAAAAAAAAAAAAAAAAAAGAAAAAAGTGTAGTTTTAGCATAGACTTGATACATCGTTTAAAATTTTCCTAGTGCTACATATATGAGCAATCACATGAAAAATGTACTGTAGATGTTTTAACTAATAGCAAGCATACCTTTTAGCATCAGTAATATAAAAGCCAATATCTAATAAAAAAGGACTTCAGAAAAACACATATGCCACATATAAAAGATTAGTTTTGCCCAAAATGCAAACCACTTGCTTTGCACTGCCAGAACTATAAAGAATCACTACTTTTTTTGTAGGACTCATTCACCCATTCTAACAGTCAGAGGGAACTGTGAGTGGTTGAGAAATGGGCCTCTCAGACTCTCCTGGAGTATAAATTATGCCTTTTCTGAAGAGCAGAATCTTCAAATTGTGAAAATATGTAACTATGACCCAGTAATGATCTATCTCATTTATAGGACCTGTCCTACAAAAACGTTTAGGCAAAAACATAAGAACAAGGAACACATTTCAGTATTAGTTAAAAGAACAAAAAATTACAAGCAACTTACAATCCATTAGTAGAAAAATGGTACACTCACACAACAAAAAGCAGGATAGTGTTTAAAAGGTGAGAGAACAAGCCCTGGATCCAGAATGCCCAGGTACAAATGCTTCCATCACATTCTAATTGTGTGGCCTGGTCAGGTTGTTTTTTTTCCAGAGGAATGATACATACAACCACCTAAGAGGGCAATGAGTTAACTCACATAAAATACAGTAATTTCTTTCTTTTTTTGAGTTGGAGTTTTACTCCATCGCCCAGGCTGGGGTGCAGTGGCACACTCAGGCCACTCCAGCATCGACCGCCTGGGCTCCGGCGATCCTTCCTCCTCGGCCTTCCAAGTAGCCAGAACACTACAGGTGTGTGCTACCATGGCTGGCTAATTTTTTATTTATTGTAGAGAAGAGGTCTCACCAAGTTGCCTGGGCTGGTCTTGAACCCGCAGGCCCAGGCATTCCATTCGCCTCAGCCTCCCAAAGTGCTGGGATTACAGGTTGAGCCACCGAGCCTGGTAAACACAGTAATTTCTAATACACCAAATGTGCTCCCTACATGTCAGACGTGCACATGACTATTATTTGGCAGCTTGAGAAGACAACGACTTATGTACATATGAAAGGATGAGGGGTGGGGGAGCAGCACATCCACAAGACAGTAAAATAAGAGTGTTCTATGGGTCATACTATTCTGCTTTTGTTTAAAAACACAAGAAAACTACATATTTATATATAAGCATAAAAAAGTCTGGAAGGATAAATAGCCAACTGTGGTTGGCTATTTTTGAGCGTGGGATGAAAGGCAAGAAAAGAAGAAAACCACTTCATATGCTTCCTTTCACACTGCTTGAGTTTATTACAAAGAACACATGTAATACTGCAATTTTTTAAAAAGCCTTTTATAAACAACTGTGTTCTGAGTGTGAAAAACCACAGACCATTTATGAGGTATAACTTAAAAATAATATAACTGATTTTGAAAACATGCATCCCAGAAACAAAACATTCCACTAGCTACCCTGGGAGATGTGGCACAATCTTCTTATTATTCATGGATAACTGCAAAATTATGTAGATGTAATCTTGCTGGAGAAGGCAGCATCTGCAGTCACCTAAGAAAATCTGGGTAAGTGTTTGTGCTGGATGCAAGACTGGGACAAAAAATGAGCCCACAGTGGGCAGTGCACTAACCTCAACGTCCAAGAAAAGAAAGGGATGTGAGGCATAAAGGCAAAAGAACAATTCTCTCTCTCATGAGGTCGACAGGCCACAAGGAAAGTGAGACCTAAGAGTTTCACCCAAGGGGTGACAAACAAAAGAGAACGTGGGCTATATCTAAGGACAGAGGCTCAAAAAAATCCCTAGAAAGTGCAGGACAGACACTTGAAATATAAGTGCAGAATATATGAATCTTTACTATACATATAAAGTGTGTTCACGATAAATTCCAAAAAGCACAATGACTTCAATGCAAAAAATAAAAATACAACCAGACGAGTCTTAGAATTTCAATAAGCTATGAATGGGAGAAGCTTTTCTAACAAGGTAGAAAACTCAAAGCCACGAAGAAAAGATTGACAGATTAGACTGTATGAAACTCAAAAAATTCTGTGTAGCAAGACACCCCCAAAAAGTAAGAGACAAAGAATACTTCTGCGAGGCATCTATAATGTGCATTACAGAGGGTTGACACAGTTGAATGTAGTGCTTGAAAATCAGTAAGAAAAAACTAGGCCGGACTTGGTGACTCAGCCTGTAATCCCAGCACTTGGGGAGGCCTATGCGAGTGGATTGCCTGAGCCTGCCAGTTCGAGATTAGCCCAGGCAACTTGGTGAGACCTTGTCTCTACAATAAAATAAAATAGCCAGGCGTGGTAGCATGCATCTGTAGTTCTGGGCTACTCGGAAGGCTGAGGTGGAAGGATCGCTGGAACCCAGAAAGTCAACACTGGGATGGCAGTAAGCGAGCATGCCACTGCACTCCGGTCTGGGCTAAGGAGTGAGACTCAAACTCAAAAAAAAAATAAATAAATAAATAAATAAAATAAAAATAAAGAAAAAACTAACCTTCAAATAAGAAAATGAACGAAGGTTAATATATGAGTTGGTCTCCCAACTCATGTTTGTTGAAATTTTAAAAGTCAACAAACATATGAAAAGATGCCAAAATACATAAAAATTAAAACAACAATATTTAATGGGCAAAGATATATTTTAAAATGTGTCAATTCTGATACTGGAAAGGTTATGTAAAATCAGATACCCATGGCCCCTGCTTGGGACACATGTGTTGGTACAACCTTTCTGAAGGACAAGCCAGCCAGTGGAGTCAACAAAATGTAAAAAAAAAAAAAAAAAACCCCAAAACCCTCTATCCCAAAAATGTTCAATGACTAGGAATTTATTATAGAAAGATAAGCATAATTGGAAAAGTACACAAACATGTATGTACAGGATGCTCATCATATCATTTATATTAAGAAAACTGGAAACAATCTAAATGCCCTTTAGAGGACCAGATAGGTAAATAGTGGTACAACCACACACTGTGTAAGTCAGCTATTAAAAATCATCAGTAATATAGCTTAAAACTATCTTCATGATAACATATCTGATTACAGAAAAGCTTCGATACTACATTCCTACTTACATAAAAATCCAAGAGTATGTGGGTAAGCATGTACTTATTGACCTGGAGAACAGACAGTTGTTGACCACACTGACCTGGAGGACAAACAGCTGTTGAACCTGCTGACTTGAAGAACAGACAGCTATTGACCCTGCTGACCTGGAGGACAGACAGCTGTTGAACCAATGGCTTGGAGGCCAAACAACTGTTGATCCCACTGACCTGAAGAACAGACAGCTACTGACCCTGCTAACCTGGAGGACAGACAGCTGTTGACCCCAATGTCCTGAAGGTCTTCATAAGTAACACTACTGCTCTCCAAGTCTCTATCTCCACCAACAAAGAAGACAGGAAATAGTCTCTTGAGACATCAGCAGAGGCTCTGGACTTGAGCGCACCAGACGCAAGTGGTCAAGGGTGGGAGTGAAACATGTGAAATGGAGAGCCAATGTAAACAGAGCAGAGACCTTCAGTGCTCTTCCTTCTCCTAGGCCTAGAATGCTGTCAATCAGGCTTCTTCCTATATTCCCACCCACTCCAGGCCAAGACTTCTGAAATCTTCATCTAAAGAAAATGCTGGTAATGGAAGCACACAGCTAAAGCCTGTCAGTTGACAAGCCATGCCACCACAGATCTTGACAATCATATTTTGGTATATCACTCTTCAATATAAATGAATAGCCAAAATCAACAGAAAATTGAAGGAACCCTCTAACATAGAAGACAGAGGTCCAAAATGAACACGCAACATGGAAAAAAAGCAGAACACAGAAAAACTTTCAAGAAAGTACAAAAATATCTCACAAAATCAGGATAATTAAAAAAATAATAATATTTTGGTAGGCTGAGGCAAAAGGATTGCCTGAGCTCAGAGTTTCAAGACCAGCCTGGGCAACTTGGCAAGACCTTGTCTCTGCAATAAATCAGAAAGTTAGTTGGGAGTGGTAGCATGCACCTATAGTTCTAGCTACTTGGAAGACTGAGGTGGAAGAATTTCCTGAGCTCAGCAGGTGGAGGCTGCGGTGGATGTGAGCATGCCACTACACTGCAGCGTGGGTGACAAAGTGAGACTCCAACTTGAAGAGGAAGAGGAAGAAGAGGAAGAAGAGGAGGAGGAAGAAGAGGAAGAAGCGAAAGAAGCAGCAGCAGCAGCTGCTCATGGAAATTAATGATACTAGAAATAAAATCAATCAGCAACGACTAAAAAGCTAAAGTTGAGGAAATCTTCATAAAGTAGAACAAAAAGATATAGAGACAATACGTGGGGACAAACATAAAGTACAGGATCCTAATCCAGGTGGTTGTGGAAAAGGTGGGGAGGGGAAGGGGAGGAGAGGAAAGGAGAAAGAGGACATCATAAACAAGAAGAGACTCTAGACAAGGAACATCACTACACAATTTCTTAACACCAGGATAAAGTAAAGGTTCTAAAAACAAAGACTCAAAAAGGCCCCCGATTTTCTATTTCAATAATCTCTTGGGAGAAGCAGGCCTCCCAAGAAAAAGGAAAGCATGGGATCCAGCAAACAGGATATCCAGTGTCAGGAGCAAGGCAAAGAAAATTCCCATAGTGATGGCCAAAGAAACTCTGGGATGGTAGCATGCATCATGCCTAGAACAACTGGTCCATCCTGGAGCGAGGGGAAGAGAGTTCATAGAGTATCTGTGGCTGACTGTCAGATGAACTGTCCTCGGAGACTGTGAAAAGCACTTTGTGACAAAAGGTTTTGAAAACCGTGAGCCAATCAGAGATAGTTAACTCCAGGAAAAAAACCAACTGTATAAGAAGCATCACGGCATACTAATTGGCACAGCAAAGATCAATATTTATCTGGTGATAATGAAAACATTAGATGTATTTCATCTAGTGTGATGTGTTATGGGAGGATGCTAATGAGAAGGAGGTCCCACAGTTAAGGACCATCATCTATCAGAACAAAACCCAACATATATCATAGTAAGACCATCATCTACCAGACCTAAACATCAAAAGTCAGTATCTTAAAAGATTACAGCATATAGTACTTTGGAAAATGAAGGTAAATACCAGAAAATACAGGCAAAAGAGCTGAAAACTGTCTTTGGGCAATGAAAATAGAAGACAAGAGGATGACTTTATTGTTTACATACTCTACAAAGTAAAAATTAATTTAAAGAACAATTAAAGCAAACTTGACAAACAAGATTAGAAAGATGGCTCTAAAGATGCCTGAGAATATCACCAAAACTAGGAACACTGTCACATGGAAATCAAAGAACAGGACTCTGAAGTCAAACACAGCCTAATCCAAATCTGGTTGGCAGATGTGAGCTTTCCCAGCTTAGTCTTTCTAACTCCCAGAAAAACTCAAAGGACATTGTCTGGCCTGCTGAATTCAATGGTAGCTATTTTTAACGCTGCTAAAATCTGACCCTATTAATCTGAGATTAAAGCCAGGTATAATGTAAGTCACAAGAGGACCAGAAACATCCAGCATGCTAGGTTAGGCAAACTAAACTGTAGCTAGAATTTCATTACACAGGTTAAGGGTAATATATTTCTACTTACCATTTCTATACTTTTCTCTTAGTTTTCAAGTAAGGATGAAAGCCTTAAAAATAAACTGTGTCAACCTACACCTAAACCATGGTAGGTAAATTGGTTAGAATGCCCCCAAGGTCCCATCAGAGAAGGAGAGCAAAGAAAAAGCTCATAGATCAGAAAGAGATAGGAATAAAAACATGAGCAGCAGGGTGCTGAGAAGAGTAATTCCTTTCCTCCTGAGTGTCCCCTCATTTTTTTTGTATCTGACTGAAAAATACAGAGTGTCTGGGTGGCTATGACATAGTCAACTGCATTTTTTCCCCTGGAAGCTTGAAACTAAGCTGGGCCTTGAACACTCGCAGGCACTGACAAAGCTATTTAAGCTGCTGCTTGAAAACACTGAGATTAATCTTTTACTGAACACACAGAAACCAGCCCCTGTCCTGAACCAAATTCATTAATTCTCATTAAGCCCCATAACTAGATCCCCTCACTGTGGACATTCTTAGGTAGAATACTTCTTCTCTCACTGGTCGTTAAGAGAACCGGTACAGCACTCTGTATGTAAATACCCCTAAAATAAATAAATTCTTTGGACTGATAATCTTGGCATGTAGTGTTTTTTTTTTTTGGAATCCCAATTTAGTTTGGGGCAGTCCCTTTGTGGGAACTGCCCTGTCACTAATTTTAGGGCAATGCCAGGCACAGGTCCAGTCAGAGAGAACACAGAAGATGAACTTACTCCAATGATGTCCTTGCCCAGACACTTCTGTAACTTCTCATTGCTATGGACTACTCTAAATGGTGGCAGATGTGTTCTGGGAGATTGTAGTTGGTTTTTGGAAGCATTCAAAAGTCAATCCAAATCAGAACTGATGGAAAACATTGTTGCCCATGTGGGGTAATATAACTTTGGATAAAACACGGGATGGAAATGTCAAGTATAAAGCACTTAATTTTCTCAAACACTCAGGGTCTGACTCTGACAGAAAATCGGAGGTGTTTAAAAAAGGTTCTGAAAACATTGAGGAGACGTATAAATTAATTACTCCAAATGACATCTAAGATAACACTTTCCAGTAACTTTCTAAAGTGTGTTTGTTAACAACTTGTCAATACTCAGAACCTTATTGGGTAAGGCTTCGCTATGTCCAATTTGTTTCTGTAATATAAAAATGGTAATTATTACTACTAACCATGCAAGATCCTGAGGAAACAGTAAAATAACTAGCTGCTAAGCACCCACGATTAGAGCTTTACTGCGCTATCTGCTGTGCACCTTTGGATGTAATTAATTTCTCTTTAGTCCCAGTTTCAGCACATCCGTAATCAGAAAATGAAGTTATTGGGCTAGATAACGCTTAGGGTTCTGTTTAATGCTAGATGGAAATACATACATCTAGGAAAGGCCAATGCCTCCCTCCATTTTCCAGAAAGAAATAAATACTTCTTCTTCTTACCTTCTTCATCAAGTCCACCGATGATGTTGTAAACATAGTATGGAAAGAAGCGCTTTGAATACAGGATTGTAGACAGCATTGCAGCAATTGCCCCCGTAGTCATGGCCTTATTGTTGGAATGCTTATACATCTGCAATTATCAATAAAAATAACAGGGATATAGAGGCAAAATCTATTACAGACTAGAACAATCAACAGTATAAAGAATAATGCCTACCTCAGTGAAAGGAGAATGCATGCCTGTTTCTTTTCAGATTAACAACACAGCATTACTAATATAAATTTAAAAATTTTAAGGAAAAGAATGCCAAGTTTGCCCTCAGCTCTCTGGTTTAAAGATCCTAGTTTCCATGCTATCCCTGTCTCAAGCACTGTTAATTCAAGACTAAGTAAGTATGAACAGGGCTACTGGGAAAGATACTTTAAATCCAGCTATCTTCCTCACTCTGCATCTAGACCAGGGGTCAGCAAACTAAGCCCATGGGCCAAATCCAGTCTACCATCTGTTTCTAGAAATACTGTCCATGGCTGCCTTCTCATTATAACGGCAGAAATGAGAAGCTACAACAGAGGCCAAAAGGCCCACTGAAAATATTTACTACCTGGACCTTTACAGAAAAGTCTGTTGACCCCAATCAAACCCAAACATAAGTCCTTCTCCTTGCAGAGTACATCTCTGTGAACACAGAAAGTATAAGGGCAACATCCTTACTCTGCATGACTCTAATACAGAGTAGTGGTCTTGATCCTTAAACTATCTACAGAGAATGACAATGCAGTAATTGTACAATCCTAGATTTACCATACCCTTGGGAACCAAAAATTATCCAATTGATAGAGAAATTCTACAAAATTTACAAATCATCTACCTTTAGTCTTGCTTCAATAATCTTTGTCAGGGTAAGACAATCTCCATGAAAACCGCTGCATCCAATGACTGTTTTGTCTGTTCTGTAAAAAGCACATTTCAGGAAACTGAGTTGGTTAGACAGTAAAGCAAAACCTGTCTTAGGCAACTTAAAATTCCTATACCCATTATTCCTTACATGGTAATGGGACAACTAAGTAGCCTTTCTGGGCAGGGGCTCTTTATTCCCATATCTGACTCCTTATACCTAATTAAATGGGTGGACCAAGGACTTAAAAGTACAACTATAAATGAATGAAAGAAAACATGGGTGAGCCATCTCAGACCAGAGAAGGCAGATTTAAACACAACATAGCCCAAGGGCCATAGAGAAAAATGTTGTAAATATGACTCCATAAAAAGTTAAAACTTCTGGGGAGTGGGGGGGGGCACCCCTCATTAATAAGAGTACCTGATCTCAAACCAGGTGAAATGGGGACCAAAGTGAGGCCCAAACTTTACCTACACAATGACCATTTGTATACCTAACTCTGAAGCTAAAAATTTCTACCGAGAAAAATAAGAACAGTTAAAAAAAAAAACAAAACTAAAAAAAATTGGTAGCACATATGACCAAAGTCTTAATTTTTTTTTTTTAATCAGAGTCTCACTATTGCCAAGGCTGGAGTTGCAGTGACATGCTCATGGCCTCCATAGCCTTGACCTGCTGGGCAAAGGTGATCCTTCTGCCTCAGCCTCCCAAGTAGCTGGAACTACAGGTGTATGCCACTATACCCGGCTGACTTTTTGATTTATTGCAGAGACAAAGTCTCATCAAGCTGCTCAAGCTGGTCTCAAACCCTTGGGTTCAGGCAATCCTCTCGTCTCCACCTCCCAAAGTGCTGGAATTGCAGGTGTGAACCACCGCACCAAGCTCCAAAGTCTTAATTTCCTTAGTTTACAAAGGGTTCCTACCAAGAAGAAAAACATTAACATCATAATGGAAAGATAAGTAGTTCTATAAACAGACAAGTCACTGAAAAAAAGAGACACAAGTGACCATAAACATAAGAAAAAAGCCTTTATATCACTCAGAAATCCAAATCTAAACAAGATATTTCAACCAATGCAACTGGCTAATAATGCCTCACTAATGCTGGTGAGGTTGTGGAAAACAGGCACTTCAGATACATGGAAACAGTATAAACTGATCTAACTTTTTATATGGGCAATGTGGCACTATCTATTAAAAATTTAAATACACAACACTTTCACTCATTAATTCTATTGCTAAAAATACATCCAGTCACTACTCACACTGATACATCCAGTCATCTACTCACACTGATGAGTATGCATTTAAATAGCTCCCCCAAACAAAACAAAACTCAATCTAAATGCCCATCAGCATGGAATTGATTAAATGTTGGTACATTCATACAAATTCAACTGTGCATACTTCAAAAATTAGTTCCTAAATCTTGACATCAATCTATAAGGAAACAAACCAATTTTTTTTTTTTTTTTTTTTTGAGTTGGGAGTCTTACTCTGTCACCCAGACTGGAGTGCAGTGGCCGCTCCCGGCCACCGCAGCCTCGACCTGCTGGGCTCCGGCGATCCTTCCACCTCAGCCTTCCGAGTAGCCGGAATTACAGGCGCGCGCTACCACGCCCAGCTAATTTTTTGATTTACTGTAGAGATGAGGTCTCGCTGCCCAGGCGGGTCTCGAACCCGCAGGCTCAGGCAATTCACTCATCTCAGCCTCCCAAAGGCGCGGGATTACAGGCTGAGCCATCGAGCACGGCTATATAGACCAATTTTGTCAAGAAATATTTGGCAGTCACATGATAAACTCTTCCTTTTGGAAAATTATGAATGACCCATACAAACTATGCTTATTCTACCAGAGAAGAAACTGACACCTCCGGGGCCACCACGAGCAGTTCCTGATCCATCCCTACACCCAACTTCACTGCACTCAGTTATAAACTTCAATTTCCCATAAGGATTTACTGCCTTTACTACCAAGATGGGTTGACAATACCAATAGGAAAGGACAAAATCTTAGAACTTCAAGATGCTTTCCCCAAATATACAGAAGCATCAAAGGAACTGTAGTTTTTATGCATCTCTGGGACCAGGAAAGATGACAGAGCTGTCTTTTCTTCTTTGCTTCTCCCTACAGTATCGCAAGGACTTGTCCAAAGGACCTAAACCTCATCAGTCCCATCCTATTACAGTTCAGGTTTAACAGGTTTTTGTGACTAACCGTTAACAACCATTTACAAGCATTTCCAAAAGTGTTAAATAAACTACTACTAATCTGCAATATGTATTTCGGCGATTTATACTCACTTTAACAAAATTTTTTGGTTTTATTTTCATGTGTTTTAGAAAAAATATAGCTAGCCCCTTAAAACTGAGCTATAGATAGATATGTAATCCATTTCAATCATCAAAATTAATGTTTTAGGTAGAAAAGGGAGGGGCAGATTTTAAAAACCATTTAATGGCTTAATGATGCTCTATGGCTTGAATGTCTGCCCCCTCTAAAATCCATGTTGAAATTGAATTGCCATAGTGACAGTATTGGAAGTTCGGCCCTTTAAGAGGTGTTTAGGTCATCATAGCACCGCCCTCATGAAAGAACATCAACACCGTGTGGGTACACCCCCTCTTCTCTCTCTGCCCTCCTGCATTCTTGTGACACAGTACAAAGGCCCTTGTCATATACCAGCCCCTAGTCCTTGGACTTTCCGGCCTCCAGAACCATGAGCTAATGAGTTTCTGTTAAGAGTAAGTTACTCGGTCTACTGCATTGTTATAGCAGCACACAGTGGACTGAGACAAATGAATAGAGGGATAGAAAGACTGTAAAGTCATTATAGTAAAATGCTAATGGTAAGATCTAGGTGATGGCATTTGGGTGATTGCTATGAAATTCTTTTACTTTTTGAAATTTTTCAGGATAAAATGCTGGGGTAAAAATATTTGGGTTACCAAAAGCACTGGTGGTACCCAGACATAATTATTACAAAGACTGTAGATCAAACTATTGGGAAATATTAACTTAGAAAGTTGTTTTCTAACAAAAAATGCAAATTAAGCTCCCAATAGGCAATCTAAAAACTCATAAGACAAATCATTTAGAAGTAGACTCTCCTGTAGCATTAAGTCATCACAAAGGCATTGTGAAATGTGCCCTTAGAAATATTTACTTACAATTTGTAACATTTGGGGCTGTCCCGGGTGTGAATTGAAAATCCTTCACTCAATCTAGTGTCAGAAGCAACAATTGAAAAATCTTCTCCAGCAATTGCCAATACAGTACTGAGGGAAAAAACAAGACAAAAGTTAGCGCTTCAGGATGGTAATCCAATCTTTCCAAATAGAAGAATGCTCCATTGCACTCAGTGGAATAAGAAATGTGAAAAAGAACAGGATTCAAGGCTGGATGCAGTGGTTCATGCCTGTAACCCCAATGCTTTGGGAGGCCAAGGACAGAGGACTGCCTGAGCCCAGGATTTCAAGACCAGATTAGGCAATATAGTGATATCTTGTCTCTACAAAAAAATTAAAAAATTAGCCAGGTGTAGTGGCACATACCTATAGTCCCAGCTACCCAGAAGGCTGAGGTGGAAGGATTGCCTGAGCCCAGGAATTCGAGGCTGCAGTGAGCTATGATCATGCCACTGTACTTCAGCCTGGGTGACAAGAGTGAGACCTTGTATCTCTCTCTCTCTCTTTTTTTTTTTTGTGAGTTGGAGTCTCACTCTGTCACCCAGACTGGAGTGCAGTGGCTGCTCCCGGTCACCGCAGCCTTGACCTGCTGGGCTCCAGCGATCCTTCCACCTCAGCCTTCCGAGTAGCCGGAATTACAGGCGCGCGCTAGGCTAATTTTTTGATTTTATTGTAGAGATGAGGTCTCGCCTGCCCAGGTGGGTCTCGAACCCGCAGGCTCAGGCAATCCACTCACCTCAGCCTCCCAAAGGCATGGGATTACAGGCTGAGCCACCAAGCCCGGCTTGAGACCTTGTCTCTTAATGGGGTTTCAAAAAGACCACTCTGACAATAACATAATATGTGAAAAGAGATGGAAACACTGTTTCAACAAGAGCAATAAAACAGTAAGGTAACAGGATGAACAAGAAGAAACAGGTAAATCCAAAAATCATTATAAACACACAAAATAGACAAGTTTTTGTATCTAACTAAATGTGTTAGGAACTAGGAAAACCAATTACAACATCCAAGATTTTAAACTCAGATGAGCAGAACTGTAAGGAGTATTCAAAAGGAGAAGAAGAGATTGAGGAGTAACTAGCTTGCTTTTTGTTTTGTTTCCTATCTTGAAACATGGTGAGAGCAAAAATTCAGGTAAAAATGTTTTGCTGAAGAAATCAGAATTGAGGAATCCATGAGGCAGGCATTGGAGAAACAGATTTGGGAAGTAACCCTCTAGGGATGAAATATGTGAGTGTCAAGTGAAAAGCATGGAAGCTAATGACTGGGTGTTAAGTCACATTTAAAGATGCAGAGTAGAAAAAGGCAGAGAGTTAGGCCTCATCTGGTGGCAGCAAAGGCTGCTGAGAGCTAGCTGCAATAAACGCTAAAGAAAAAGAACTAAGACTGAGAAATGGTAACTTGATTAATAATCAGAAAGTTGTTAAGTAACTTTAAGAACAGTAATGACATAAATTGAATTACAAGGTGTTAAAAAATGAGTAATGAGTGAATACTGAACACCTTGCAAATTCTTACAAGGAACTGCCTTATGAAATGGGTCTAATAACCCACCTTAACATGTAATTGCATATCTCATCACCACAGGAAATGTCAAGACACATAACGGAAAGCACACATAAACTGTGATGAAAAAGCTATGGGTTAAAATCCTGACCCAACTTCACACCAGGTCTGCAACCAGGATAGCTTTTCAGCTTCTAAGAGCCCCACAAGGATAATGCCATCAAACATTCACTAATCATGAGGTGTCAATAAGATACAACATGCAGTTTACAAAATATCTCTCTCTTGATTCTCCCTAAAACTATGAAGGAGCTAAGGAAGATAAGGAAATGTAGGTTCAAGAAGCTGAGAAGCACCCAAAGACCACACTGTCCTTTAGTGACTACAACCAGGGCTAAGATCCCTCCTATTATCTAACATAACCCCAAAATCTGCACTAATATTTCACATTTATAAGCACCTGATGAATATTTTTGCTTTTCTTAAAGAAACATCTGTTTGTCTGAATTGTGTATGTGTGTGTCTCTTTTTTCTGGGGGGGAGTTGGAGTCTCACTCTGTTGCCCAGGTTGTAGTGCAGTGGCACGCTCACAGCCACCACAGCCTCAACCTGTTGGGCTCGGGCAAGCCTTTCGCCTTAGCCTTCCAATAGCTGGAACTACAGGTACGCACATGCTACAACACCCAGCTAAGTTTTTTTTAAAATTTATTGTAGAGATGAGGTCTCACCAAGGTGCCCAAGCTGGTCATGAACCCCTGAGCTCAGACCATCCTCTTGCCTCCGCCTCCCAAAATGCTGGGATTACAGGCTTGAGAGTATGTGTGTTTTAATGTACAAAAAGTTGATTGGTAAACTGTAACCACTGCTTCAGTTTACAGAGCTTCATAAGAGTCTGAAACAAAGCATCTTTCTACATCTCTAATTATTTAGCCTTCTATCAAGGAAAATAATTACTTAAAATAAAGCCGGTAACTAAAAGAACAAAACCTAGGCCGGGCCAGGTGGCTTAGTTTGTAATCTCAGCACTCTGGAAGACCCAGTGGCTTGATGCTGGGGTGATGGTGAGTATGCCACTGCACTCCAGCCCGGGCGACAGGGTGAGACTCCAACATATAAATAGATATAGATAGAGACAGATAAACAAACGAACAAAATCTGAACATACAAGAACACACATTTTATTTGTGAGTTGGAGTCTCACTCTGTCGCCCAGGCTGGAAGGCAGTAGCCTGCTCATGGTCACCCCAGTGTTGATCCACTGGGTTCAGGTGATCCTTTCATCTCAGCCTTCCAAGTAGCTGGAATTACAGGCACGTGCCATCACACCCGGTTAACTGTTTGCTTTATTGTAGAGATGAGGTTTCGCCAAGTTGCCCAGATAGTCTCCAACCCGTGGCCTCAGGCAATCCTCTCACCTCGGCCTCCCAAAGTGCTGAGATCACAGGCTTGAGCCACCGCGCTTGGCCAAGAACACACATATTAAAAGGTGCTTCTTCTATTCCCCCCCATGGACTTAAGCTAAACGTTAAAAAACAAAAACACGCATCTGTGAAATTAAATCTGACCAACCAGTCCCACCTTCTATTTGAAATAACAGAAAACGGTTAAGCTGGTCGATTAGACCTTCCAGCAACAGACACAACCAAGCATCTAATAATTCCGGCCAAATAACCATAACTTCAAAGCTTCAGGTGCTACACCTCTCCTCTCGCCTGCTTGCATGAGAAACATGTTCAGACGCCACGAAAAAGTAATGACCTTAAAAAAAAAAAGTGAGAGTCTCGCTGTCGCCTAGGCTGGACAGCAGCCTAGAAATCCGGGGCTTAAGCCATCTTCCCGTCTCATCCTCCCAAAGCTTGAGACTACAGGTGAGCCCCTGCTCCTGGCCTGAGGTCTGTCTTTAAAAGTCTTCATAGAGCAGCAGCTGTTTCGACTCCTACTCCACCGTGTCACTGCAGCAAGCAGCACAGAGCGGTCGACCCCCCAAAAAGCCCGGATAGCCGGCCTATCAGGACACCCCTAAACACCCACACTGTATCTCTGCCACCCAGCGAAGGCGAGCAGGGCGCGAGAGGACGGCACGGAGACTGGCCCTGCGCGGCCACGAAGGCTGGGGCCCGAGGCCTGAGGGGGACCGGGCAGTGCCCTCCCCGCCGCGACCCCAACAGGCTGGAGCAGAAGGGGCGGGGGGAGGAGCTAAAGCGGCGGATCCTGGGGCTTTACCCTCCATTGAAAGCGTAGGGCGAAAAGCGCAGACTCAACGGGCCCGCGGCGCCGTGCGGCTCCATCCCCAGGTCTCGGCCGGGACCCGCGTACAGCAAGGCGGAGGACGACATCGCACTGCCGCGGCGGCGACTCCTGCTGTCTCACGGCGAGATGGCGGTCCGACCGGACGTGACGCCATTTCCGGATTCTCCCGGCGCTTCCTCCCGGCTTCTCTATCTCTCATTCGTCGTTGGTCCTGAAGGTCAACGCCTCCACCTCCGCTACCTATTCCAAGAAGACTGACGGAGATGTAACGGTATTTTTTCTAAGAAAAAAAAATTTTAAATTCTGTCCATGCCAAAAACTGGCAAAATTCCAATACTCTATTGGTGGGAGTGTAAGCTGGTACAGCATTTGAAAAGGGATTGGCATCGCCTGGCATAGTTGAATGCACACATGCCTCGTGACCCAGCAATTCCACTCTTGGGTTTATGCCCCAGCAGAAGACAGGCACACGGATAAAGGATTATTGTTAATGACCCAATCTGGAAATGAGTCAAACGTCCATCGACAGCAGACGATACGTTAATTAAACTGTAGTCATACAGTGAGATATGTCAAAGCAAAGATTAACTAACTACTGCTAGTTGGGAGACAGGAAAGATAAATCAACATGGATGAGTCTTGGCTGGGTGAGGTGGCTCACGCCTGGAATCCCAGCACTTTGGGTGGCTGGGGGTGGGGAGGATTGCTTGAGCCCAAGAGTTGGAGACCAGCTTGGGCAACATAGCGAGAACTTGTCTCTTAAAAGAAAAAAAAAATTAGCAGAACATGGTGGCATGCACCTGCAGTCCCAGCTACTCAAGAGGCGGAGAAGGGAGGCTCCCTTAAACCCAGGAGGTTGAGGCTGCGGTGAACCGTGATCATGCCACTACACTCCAGCCTGAGCAACAGAATGAGACTGAAAGGGTAAACTGAGGCAAGGTGGACTGGTGCCAAAGGAATAATGCAAGATTACAACAAAGAAGGAAGCGGAAGGTAGTAAAGTTTATTATTCACCTTTCACAGATGGAAAGGGGACCAGTACTCAGGCGAGTGTGGCTCCAAAGGGCTGAGAACCGCGTACATTTAAGGCCCTTCAGAGAAGAGGGTTTCGGGCTGGAGGGGTTTGGGCCAAAATGAATGTCCAGGGCTGTGTCCTGTGATGTTGAGAGCAGCCACACAAGTCTTGGATCTTGACATCACCAGGCACCAGCATCTTGTCACATAAACAGATGCCTCCCAGTGGTGGGCCAGAGGTCATTATGGACGGTTGATAACAATGTAGTGACATGAATGCCTGAAAGAAAGATTATTAGGAGAATTGTACATGCTCAGCAGTCTGCATAATCTGTCTGACTCTGGGAAACTAGTCCTGGGAGTCAGCTTGAGGAAGGGTGATTAATGGTTGTAGGGTAAGAGAGACATGCAGGACATGCGGACTGCTTAGCAAAGCGTGTCAGGGGTAAACCTTAAGCAAAAATGGCTGTGCTAGGGCAGAATGGCTGCACTAAAGCTAAGTCTATCCTAAAATTATCGGGGTCCCTCCTTTCAGAGAACTCAACTAAAAAAAACAAAAACAGAAAAGGGTGAAAAAAACAGAAAAGGGTGAGTCTTATAAACATAATGTTAAGTAAAAGAATCCACACTGGGTAACCTAGGCTATGCAATCATTAGAAAGGGCTTGTTTGGCCCAGGTGTGGAAGGAGTGTTTGGCTGCTGGCAATATACTGTTTCTTTACTTGACTTATAACTATTTGTTAATCTGTATATTTCTTGATGCACTTTTATATATGAATATTATGTTCTCATTCAAATGCAAGCAGGCAAGCAAGTAATTGGCCAATATAGGATAGATTAGCTGATATAGATATAGGCATAAATATAGAAATAAATATAAATATACAATTCTGGAGCCACAAAAGATTTCTTAAAATACTTGTTTAATTAATACTTTCCTCATGCTTTACTGTAAATGAAGGATAAAACAGGGTTTTATTTGATGGTTGTGGAAAGGGAGATATTGCACCTACACAGGTTCTTCCACAGGTTTACAGGGTGCCAGGTACTGTCCTGGATACCAAAAAATGCATATAACATTTTCTATCCTCAAAAGCTCACAACCTCACTGATGATACAAAATACAAAGGAAACAAATAAACAAGCAGTACCACATGTGGTTATGCCTAAATGAGCCAGAACGGGGAGAAATCAGTATGTATTGGAGTCCAATCAAGCATCAGGTAGCCGACTGAGAACAACTGCAGGTGAGGTCTTGTGACAAAAGTGCCAAACGACAACATAGCAGAACGACAACATAAATACATCTGCAAACACAAGCCATCTGTTTTTGTTTTGCTTGTCTTGCATTGTGCACGTTTGAAGATTAGCTCACATGCGTTGGAAATGCGGTAAGGAACACGTGTTCACCGCGTGCTGGGCACTGTTCATGCATTTACCTTATCAATCTCCCAACATCCCTAAAGGGTAAATATCATTATTGCCGTTATTCAATTTTACAGAAGAGACCGCAGCGGAGCGCTCAGGTAGCTTGCCAAAGGTAACACCACTACCTGGCTACCGGAAAAAAAAAAATCACCATTTAAAAGATCCTTATCTTTCCTACGTCCAGCAAGGGCCAATTAGAGAAGGCTGTGGCAAAGCGGCCCCGCCCCGGAACTCCTGGAGCGCCGCGCCCTTCTTTCCCTTCAGCTCGGCGCCTAGTGGGACACAGGAAGTATCTGAGAGCCAGCATTCCCCAGGGCCGCCGACCCGGCGTGGGCAGCCCGCTGAAGCCGTGGGCAGACCTGGCGGAAGTGACACTATCAGCGCGCGCCAGGAGTTCCGCGGGGTCGGGCAGGGTCGCCGTGGCGGGCGCCCGGGCCGCCGGCAGTTTAACTTCGTTTCCGCGGGCCCGTGGTGGTCTTTGCGTTGACTCCAGGTAACAGCCGTCTTCGCTTGTCCTCTTTCCTGAGGGCGCGGGCGGAGGCGACCGCTGCAGAAAGGCCTGGGGGCGACGGCAAGGAGGGGACGCAACGTGGGCGCGCAGGCCCCGCTGGGGACGTTCTTCCCTCCCCCGCCGCCGCCCTGGCCCGCACCAGCCGCCGGCCGACGCTCCCTCCTGGCCCGCTTCCCCTAAGCAAGCGCCTGGGAGGCGTCCTCGCGTCCTGCCGTGAGATCGCGAGTGCGGGGCTGGGGGTGCTGGGCGGGAAGGTGCCGCGCGCCGAAGCCCCGGAGCTCGTCCAGATGCAAATTGACCCGGGCTGTGCCCGCCTGTTTTGCCGCCAGCAGCAGCTTTATTATAAAGTTGTGCTGAGACTCTTTGACGTCTTGTCGGAAGCCTGAGCCGGCGAGCGAATCCACACCGCTTTATTCACAAGGGCTGGGTCTCTAGCTCAGGCAGCACGGCTTTCCAAAACGCTAGGTAGGCTTTTCTGCGAAAGATTATGCTTCACTCTAAGGCTCTGCAGAATTAATTCTGTCGCCTCCAAACGACACCGAGGTTCCTACTTCCATCTACAAGAGATGAAGACACTTTGCAAACAGCTCTCTTTTCTAAGGATTAGCGCAGTGGTCGCTGTGCGGCTTCTCCTGTAGACTTTCGGTTTGCAAAAAGTGGTTTGGAGCTACCAAAGGTTCTGGATAAATTCCCAGTCATGCTTTTGAGGGCGTTAAATCCTGCTCTCGTCTCTTGCCTCCGCGATAGCAGTGGCCCCTTAAACTGGACTTCCAGCCTCCGATGTTACTCCCCTCAAATTCATCTACACTCTTGCCAAATTAAATCGACTCGTGCTGCACACATCCTGTCCCGAGGGTGAGAGCCCGCCTGTGCTGTCTGTCTCCTGCAGTGACCTTCTTCACGTCACACCAAACTCGCACACTGCAGACTCTTTTGCAGCCTCCTCTTTGTGCTTGGTGTCTCTTTTACCCGAAGCTCTGATTCGTACATTCCTACTCACCTTGTTAAACGGTCTCTGCTTTGTTAAAACATTGCCCTCTCTTCCTAGTACTTTGCTGCTAGCTTTTATTGATGATCATGTGCTCCATGTCAAGCAGGGCGCCAAGTGCAGATACCGCAGAGACATGTATGCTGGCTTCTGCATTCAAAGAGCTTCGCTTAGTGTATACTTGCTATTATAGCACTTGCCATGTTTTTACAGTAATTACGTACATACCTTTCATATTGAATTCCTTAATGCCAAGGGCTATATCCTCTTTATACCATCACTTCTATTATTGTTACTAGAATGTCAAGAAAAGTATGCTTTTTCTTATATTTTCAGGAGCATAACTTTCCCTTTTTCTTGGTCTGTTTTTCAGTGATAAGTATGTGGGATAGTCTTTGGGGTCCTTTGCTCTCAAAGTGATTGTCCGTTTCTTTCACAAATGCCTGAGTGTCTACTCTGTATCAGCATACGCTTGAAGCATTTGTGCTTGAATGGTCTTTGGAGATAAAACTGGTACCTTTGAGACCTGTAAGTTTTATGTGAGAATGAATTATTAGATGATAATAAATGTTTGAACTGAAATATAATAATAGTTTAGATTTGTCTTGTGCTTAGTGTATGATAACTAGACACTTCTTTATGTGTTAATCAGTAAATCCTATGTTGATTTAGTCAGTTCTGACAGTAATCCTGAGCAAGTTATAGGTCTGTTTGAACTGAACAAAAGGTCTTTTTGCTGTCACTTGTTTCTTTGATCAGAAAGTAGTTTCAGATGTGTAGCCAGTAAAGCGATAATAATTTTAAGAAAAACCAGACACCGGTGTTGTATTGTAAAGAGGTAAAGTTATTAGATTTATGCAAATGCAATGCTTTATTTATCTGTACAGTTTTTTGATAGTCTTTCATTAAAGTAGGAGCTCAATAAATTATCAAAGTATATTGGGTTGAATTCAATATTTGTTGAATTTTATGCCCAAGACATTGTGGAGGATATAAAATTGAGTGGAATATTTAAAAATGTGAACTTGTCCTAAAGTGCTGTGTATACACTGCTTAATAAATATTGTACTCTGATATTACAATTTGCTTAGTAATTTGTTTTTCTAGGTGTTTTTCCACAAAACTTTTTAATACTGATTATAACACCTTAATTTTGAGCATAATCAGAGTATTTAAACATGTAATGAAACAGTTTTTGTTTTGTTGGCAATCTTGCATGCAGTCACAGGAAACATAGAAGGAATAAGGTGTTAGGATTTTAAGATAAAAAGAAATGTATTCCAAAATGGCCTCACTGGTTTTCTTGTGTGTGTCTTGTGTAACCATGAAACTAGCTTATAAGACTGCATGGGTTACCTGGATCCGTACATTAAACTTCAGACTTTTTTCATGAGCAGCATCACTGTTTGTTGGCGTGTGGAGATCACCCAGGGCGTTGAGGAAGTGACTGAGAAGAGCGTGCTGGGGATGCTCTAAGAAGGACTGAATGCTGAGACGAGTTCCAGTCCAAGAGATTTTGGTTTTCTGAGAAGAAAGAGAGCATCATGGATCAGAACAACAGCCTGCCGCCTTATGCCCAGGGCCTGGCCTCCCCTCAGGTAATGCGTGAGGAGGGAGGGCAGACAGTACACTTCAAGAGGTGGGTCAAGGGAAGAAACAGTATTAGCAGACTGTTACTGAAAATGATTTTATGTGTATTATTAAGACTCCTTTCTTTTGTGGAGAAGTTTTATTAGGCTTTGAATAGGCATGATAGTGTTTTTTTGAGAAACCTGTTTGGAAGATAAATTGTCTGTCTGCAAGACGGTCCTTGGATAAATTCTTAGGCGAATACTCCAAATGATTATATAGGGGGGTCTTTGATTTTGAAAATCACTCTCACCAAATTATCTTCTAGTTTATCTTTTCCTTATGTTTAAAGTTCTAAATCTGTGATCTAACATTTTTAACAACTTTCAGTAAATTCTATTGCAGTATAATTTACATACAATAAAAACCTCCATTTTAAGCTTATGTTTTGATAACCGTCTTTACCTGTGTAAGTTACAGAACATTCCCTTCTTGTCCCTTTCTAGTTGCTCTCCTTGCCCCAGGCAACTACACTTTAGTGTTTTCAACACTAAAGACTAATTTTGCCTATTCTAGAATTTCATGTAGATAGAATCATACAGCATATGCTTTTCTGTGTATGTCTGTCTTCTAAGCCCAGCATAACATTTGTATATCAGAAGTTAATTCCTTTTTATTACCAAGTAGCGCTCATGTTGTACTCATGTTCCATGGTTTATCTTTCCATTCTCCAGTTGCTCGCATTTGGATTGTTTCCAGTTTGGGGCTATTGTGAATAAAGGCACTTTGAGCATTTGTGTATAGACTTTATGTGCTCTGTATTTTTGTTGCTGTCGGGTAAATGCTTAGGAGTGCGGTTGCTGCATCATATGTCAGCCTGTGTGTAGCTTTATAAGAAACTGCCAGATCATTCTCCAGTGATAGAACTGTATTGCAGTGCCACCAGCTGCACAGGAGAGTTCTGGTGTCTCCACGTCCTCACCAACACTTTGGGATGTCAGTCTTTAATTTTAGCCATTTCAGTAGTTGCTGAGTAGTATTTCATTGTGGTTTTAATTTTTATGTTCCTAATGATTAATGATCCTGAGCATCTTGGCAAGTGTTTATTGGCCATTTATATACAATAGACATTATTTTACTGAACTTTATGGCGCTTTGCAGATATTACATTGTTGACAAATTGAAAGTTGTGGCAACCCTGCATCCAGCAAATCATTTGGTGCCATTTTTCCAGCAGCATGTCCTGATGTCACATATTGGTAGTTTTTGCAAGATTTCAAACTTTATTATTATTATTATATCTGTTATGGCTATCTATGGTTAGTGGATTTTTTTTTTTTTTTAGTTGGAGTCTCACCCTGTCACCCAGGTTGGAGTGCAGTGGCATGCTCATGGCCGCCATAGCCTTGATCTGCTGGGCTCAGGTGATCCTTCCACCTTAGCCTTCTAAGTAACTGGTACTATAGACATGTGCCACCACACCCTGCTAATTTTTTGATTTATTGTAGAGATGAGGTTTCACCAAGTTGCCCAGGCTGGTCTCGAACCACTGGGCTCAGGCAATCCTCTCACCTCGGCCTCCCAAAGTGCTGGGATTATAGGTGTGAGCCATTGTGCCCGGCCAGGTTAGTGATCTTTGATGTTACTATTGCAATTGTTTTGGGCACCAGGAACTATGCCCATATAGACAGCCAACTGAATCCATAAATGATGTGTGTGTACTGACTTTCAATTTCCTCTGAGAACTTTTCCCTTGCATTCACAACTTGACTGTTTGGTGTAAAAGGCCTAGCTGTCAGGCTATCTCAGCTTTCAATGCACCTTCCTCACTGAGTTTAATCACTGCTAGCTTTTGATTTAAAATGAGAGATGTACAACTCTTCTTTTCGCTTGAACACTTATCCACCAACTAGCTGTTCCCATCTCTCTCTCTCTCTCCTCAGGCCTCCCTATTTCCTGAGACACAGCATATGGAAATTAGGCCAGTTCATAACCTTACAGTGACCTCTAAGTGTTCAAGTGAAAAGAAGAGTTGCACATCTCTCACTTTAAATCAAAAGCTAAAAGTGATTAAACTTAGCGAGGAAGGTGTGTTGAAAGCTGAGATCGCCTGACAGCTAGGCCTTTTACACCAGTCAAGTTGTGAATGCAAGGGAAAAGTTCTCAAAGGAAATTAAAAGGACTACTCCAGTGAACACACAAATGATAAGAAAGCAAAACAGCTTTATTGTTGATATACTGGTCTGGATAGAAAACCAAACTAGCTACCACGTTCCTTTAAGCCAAAGTCTAATCTAGAACATGGCCTTAACTCTTCAATTTTATGAAGACTGAGAGAGGTAAGGAAGTTATAGAATAAAAATTTGAAACCAACAGAAAAAGAACCATAATAACATGAACGTGCAAAGTGAAACAGCAAATACTGATGAAGAAGCTACAACAAGTTATCTAGAAGATATAGCTAAGATAATTGATAAAGGTGACTGCACCAAACAACAGATTTTCAATATAGACGAAGCAACCTTCTGTTGCGAGACGATGCCATGTAGGACTTTCAAAGCTAGACGGAAGCCAGTGCCTGGCTTCTGAGCTTCAAAGGACAGACTGACTCTCTAGTTAGGGGCTAAATAGCTGTGACTTTAAGTTGAAGCCAGTGCTCATTTTCTTTTCTGAAAATCCGAGGGCCCGTAGGGATAATCTAAATCTACTCTGCCTGTGTTCAGAAATGAAACAACAAAGCCTACATGACAGCACATCTATTTATAGCATGGTTTACTGAATATTTTAAGCCCACTGTTGACCTACTGCTCAGAAAAAAAATTCCCTTCAAAATATTATTTCTCATTGACAGTGCACCTAGATGCCCAAGAGGTCTGATGGAGATGAACAAAGAGATGAACATTGTTCTCATGTGTGCTAATAGCACATCCATTCAGCATTCTATAAATCAAAGAGTATCTTTTACTTTCAGGTTTTATTATTTAAGAGATATATAAGACTATAGCTTCCATAGATAGTGATTCCTCTGATGAATCTGGGCAAAGTAAATTGAAAACCTTCTGTAAAAGATGCACCATTCTAGATGCCATTAAGAACATCCGTGATTTATGGGAGGATGTCAAATATCAGCATGAACAGGAGTTTGGAAGAAGTTGATTCAAACCCTTGTTTAAAGGGTTTAAGACTTGATTAAAGGAAGTAACTGCAGGTCTGATAGAAATTATACTCAAACTAGAATTAGAAGTGGAGTCTGAAGATGTGATGGAATTGCTGCAATCTCATGATAACATTTGAATGGATGAGCAAAGAAAGTGGTTTCTTGAGATGAAATCAATTCCTGGCGAAAATGCTGTGAACATTGTTGAAATGACAGTGAAGTTTATAGAATATTATGTGAACTTAATTGATAAACTAGCATCAGGGCTTGAGAGAATTGACTCCAATTTTGAAAGAAGTCCTAGTGTGGGTAAAATGTTATCAAACAGCATTGCATGCTACAGAGAAATCTCTAGTGAAATGAAGAATCAGTCAGTGCTGCAAACTTCATTGTTGTCTTTTTTTTGTTTGTTTTTGAGTTGAACCTCATTCTGTCACCTAGGCTGGAGTGTAGTGGCACCATCATGACTCACTGCAGCCTCAACCTACTGGGCTAAAACTATTGTGCCCTGCTAATTTTTTTGTGTTTTTTGTAGATATGAGGTCTTATTTTGTTCAAAGCCAAGCTGGTCTCAAACTCCTGAGCCAAAGTGATTCTTCCACCTCTGCCTCCCAAAGTTTTGGGACTACAGGCATGAGCCACCATGCTTGGCCTTTGGTTTTTTGTTTTTTTTAAGAGAGATGGGATCTTGCTCTTTCTCCCAGGCTGGAATAGAGGTGCAATAATAGCTTACCAAGCCCCAAACTCCTGGGCTCAAGTGATCCTTCTGTTGGGGCTGCAGGCATGTGCTACCACTCCTGGCTAATAGTTTAATTTTTTTAGAGACAGAGTTTTACTGTGTTGTCTAGGCTGGTCTCGAACTCCTGAGCTCAAGAAATCCTCCCACCTTGACCTCCCAAAGTGCTAGGCGAGAGCTCTCATGTCCAGCCTAGTTGTCTACTTTAAGAGACTGCTACAGCTACTCTAGCCTTCAGCAGCCACCATTCCAGCAGCAGCCACCCACATCCAGGCAAGACCTTCTAGCTGCACAAAGCCTATGGTTCACTGAAGGCTCATACGGTCTTTAGCCATAAAGTATTTTTAAATTAAGATAAGTACTTTCTTTAGACATAATGCTTTTACACACTTGATAGACTGCAGTCTAGTGTAAGCATAACTTTTCTGTATGCTTAGAAATCAAGAAATTTGTACAACTTGCTTTATCGTGGTAGTCTGGGATCAGACCCACAGTATCTCCAAGGTGTGCCTATATTTTCATTTGTAAAATGTCCTTTATATCTTTTGTCCATTTTAAAATTGGTTTATTCATCTTTTATTGAATTATAGGAACTCTTTATGTGTTCTGTTTACCAGTCCTTTCTCAGATATATGTATTATAGATGTTTTTTCCCCCAGTCTGTGGCTTGTCTTTTAATTGTCTTTATGGTATCTTTGAAAGAACAGAAGTTCTGAATTTTTTCTGGAGTTCAGTCTATCAGTTTTTCTTTATGTCTATCCACTGTGTTACATTAAAAAATAAAGTGAGGTGTATACGAATAGGAAGTTTTAGGCTGGGCACAGTGGCCCATGCCTAGAATCCCAGCACTATGGGAGACCAAAGCAGGAGTATCAGTTGAGTCCAGGAGTTCAAGACCAACCTCGGCAACATAGTGAGACTTCATCTCAAAAACAAAAACAAAGAAAAGTAAGTTTTCCCCGATAATGTTTCATAACCCCATTACACTCAGAAGGCATCTGTCTTTACACATCTCACCTGCTGTTCCACCAGGGAAGTCCCACAAGCAGCAGCAGCAGCAGCAGCCAGCCTAACCTGTTCTCCTTGCTTTCTGCAGGGTGCCATGACTCCTGGAATCCCTATCTTTAGTCCAATGATGCCTTATGGCACGGGCCTGACTCCACAGCCAATTCAAAACACCAACAGTCTGTCTCTTTTGGAAGAGCAACAAAGGCAACAGCAGCAGCAACAGCAGCAGCAGCAACAGCAACAACAGCAGCAGCAGGCAGTGGCAGCTGCAGCAGCCGTTCAGTCCACGTCCCAGCAGGCGACACAGGGGGCATCGGGCCAGGCGCCGCAGCTCTTCCATTCACAGACTCTGACAACGGCACCTTTGCCGGGCACCACTCCGCTGTATCCCTCCCCCATGACCCCCATGACCCCCATCACTCCTGCCACACCCGCCTCGGAGAGCTCTGGGATTGTCCCACAGCTGCAGTGAGTACTTGGTGTTCCATGTCTGTCTCCTCTCCCATGTTCCAGGGTCCTTGAGAGCCTGTTCCTCTTTGTTTTCAGATGAATCTGTTTACTTAAGGTAGTGGCATTAATGCTAATTGTATATCAAAGATGGCTTTATCTCACCCATGGGAAAGGAAAGCAAAGCTGTTTTAGTGAGTCAGTGCCTGCAGTAAAATGTTCTCTTTTTCAGAAATGTGGCTGCTGTGTTTATATGTTTGGGCTAATAAAATGTAATCTGAATTTCATCTTTACTGTTATAGACACTTCCCTGTATCTCGTTTGTTAGATCACAAGGTTTTGTAGTCTCTTTCCCTTGGGCTGGTTTATAGTTTAGGTCTTTAGTCACAATATCAGGGTAGTTCCTAGCAGTTCTTGCTTCTCTTCTTTCTTCCTTTGGGGGCTGCATATAAATCTTTGAAGGTCTGTGTCCTTCCCACAAGGTGAAGATGACTGTCTTGTCCTAAATATGTTCTTCTACCTAAATGAAGTGGATCCTATATGTAACAGGGTAGTGGGGTAGGAAAAAATTTCATCTTTCTGAAAAATAGGCAAACATTTCTAGGTATCAGTCAATGAGAAATATAGCTTTTACTTTAGAAAGATTATGACCAAAAGGGTTATTTGCAATCACGACATCTCCTCAGTTTCTTGTACAGTAATCTCCTTCTCTCTCACTCCCTTTAGACCTGCTATTTCCTATTCGCACTTATATCTTGTTAAGTATTTGGTCATTTATAAGCCATTTCTGACCATATTTGGAACCAAGTTGAGTAAAGTCTTGGATCCTGACTGTTACCTAAAGACCTAACTATTGCTTTGTCAATTTTGTTTGACCCCACACAGTGTTTTGTTCAGAGTCAGGGTCTTACTCTGTCTAGGTGGGAGTGCAGTGGCACAATCATGGCTCACTGCAATCTCAATCTCCTGTGCTCAGGCAGTCCTTTGGCCCCAGCCTCCTGAATAGTGAGGACTACAGGTGTGCACCACCATGTCTGGCTAATTTTTTGTAGAGATGAGGTCTCACTATGTTGCCCAGGCTGGTCTTGAATTCTTGGGCTCAAGTGATCCTCCTGCTTCAGCCTCCTGAAGTGCTGGGATTACGAATGCAAGTTACGACACCTGACCACACACAATTTTAAAAACAATAATTTTTATGATTTTAGAGAGCTAAGCCCTTGTTAGCTTACCTTTGTCGATGCCACTCTCAGACATCCTGCATGCTTGTCTGACTCCAGTGGACGTTTAAGTTTGCACATCTTGTTTAAATTATAAATTATAACTAGTTTGGATCAGGTTTTGTTTCTTGCCAATGCCTTGTTTTCCTAATAACTCCACAAAGCATCAGCCACATTCCTGAATTTCCACTCTCTGTTAAGAGCCCTACTGGGTGGTAATTCAGTGGCTTCTATGTCTTATAGGCTTATGAGGAATGAAGGTAAATATTTTAATTCATGAAATTATATAAGCATATATTTAGCAGTTATATGATAAATTGTGAGAGATACACTGAAATTTATTTGATAGAGTTCATAATGGACGAGTGCTGAAGGCAGGTGTGTATACAGAGGTGATGAGAAGGAAATAGGTGATGTAGAAATGAAAACATTCATTGGGTTGACCAACCTAATTGGCTTTACAATCATATATTGAGAGACTATCATTCTCTTCAACAAAATTATGAGCCATAAAATTTTCAAAAGTGTTGCATTTTGACAAGAAAAAGAACCAGAAGACACCACGGGTTGAACTACTATTGTATTTGAACCTGCGTATTTGAAATCTGGAGTCAGTATTCTCAGGGTGGTGATTTTCATGCATGACAGGTAATGGGCAGGTAATTGCGTTCAAAGGACATTGCCCATTTCAAATATATATCTTATAAAACCAGAAAATATAGAATCAAAATTTGGGTTGTTTAAATTTTTACTAAAATTCTTAATAAAGTTGATTTTCACCATATGTTTTTTTTTTAAGTTTTTCATTAAAAGATGTAAGAATACTAAAAAATCAAAAGGATCCGTTGGACCCAGTTGACTAAAGATAGCGATTGCTTCTAATTTACTGAGAGTTAATCAGAAGATGAAACAGGTTTTTTTCCTTTGCCTAAGATACTAAGGTCTTGTTCTTCCACAGTGAAACTTACTTTGAGGGATTGAGCGAGTCTGTGCCTGCTTGTTTTCATTATAGTGGCTTTTAGGAGTAGGGTAGTGGTGGTGGCTTTTTGGAGCTGACAGATGAGAGTAGACTTTGGTTAAGGGAAGTCTAAGGCATGGCTCTGGAGACAGACAAACTCAAATCCTGGCTGCACCACTTAGACGCTGTGTGCATCCTGAGCAAGTTACACTCCCTTGAAACCTCAGCTTTTTTATCTGGACGTTGGGAATATTAATTGTTACTGCCCCATAGTGCATTGTATTAAGTGATGCAATCTATGTAAAATGCTTAGCATGGTGTGTTAAATGCTTAATAAATTTCAGCAGTTTTAAAAATCAGAGCCTAGTGGGAGTCAGATTTCTAGGCAATCATCTAACACCTTATCCTATAAAAGTTAAGTAATTTAAATAATCATGTTTTCTTTTTAAATTTCTTACAGAAATATTGTATCCACAGTGAATCTTGGTTGTAAACTTGACCTAAAGACCATTGCACTTCGTGCCCGAAATGCTGAATATAATCCCAAGGTCAGATGTGTTTTAATGTATTTCAAACTATATGATAAAACAGGAATTTAATTCTGAAAGTCCCTAGATCACAGAGTTTGTGTTATGCTTAAGTTTCTTGACACCAACAAAATGAAGATCTAAAGTAATAAGTGTGTCGTTTTTTACCTTGGCTATTTAAGTGAAATAGGGCAAGTTCATTCCTCTTGTACTTTATTGAACGTCTGTGCTGTAAGAGTCCTTAGGAACATAACATTCTATAAAGTAAACCAAGTTCATATACATCACTGTAATGGGGATCATGTGAAGTTGAGGAACAGAATGTGTAATGTGATACCATTTATGTTGTGAAAACTGTGTAGGGTAGAATGACATGGCATCTGGAATTTAACTCAATAATCTTATGGGAAAATTGGGAAGGGGCACATGGATGAAACAAGATTGGTCAATAGTTAATCATTGTTAAAGTTGGATAATAAGTACAGGAGGTTTATTATAATATAGTTTTCTACCTTTGTGTAACTTTTAAATTTTTAATAATAAAAAAATTGGGGGGAAAATTCTCCATAGACTTTCTGATTTTAAGATAGCCACATGCACTGGACATGGTGGCTCATGCCTGTAATCCCAACACTTTGGGAGGTAGAGGTGAGAGGATTGCCTGAACCCAAGAGTTCAAGACCAGCCTGGACAATTTGGCGAGACCTCATCTCTATAATAAATTTTTTTTTTTTTTGAGTTGGAGTCTCACTCTTTTGCCCAGGCTGGAATGTGGTGGCACACACACTCTTGGCCACCCCAGTGTATAATAAATAAATAAAAAAATTAGCTGGACGTGGTGATGCGTGCCTGAGGTTCCAGCTACTTGGAAGGCTGAGGTGGGAGGATTCCCTGAGGCCAGCGGGTTGAGGCTGTGGTGACTAGCCATGAGTGTGCTACTACATTCCAGCCTGGTGACAGAGTGAGACCCTGGCTCAAACAGAAAGATAGCTGCATGAATATATGCTACAGGCTTTTGTGCCTGTGCCAGTAGAAAAGTTTTATTTTTGTTTTTGTTTTAAGTTGGAGTCTCACCTTGTTGCCCAGGCTGGAGGGCAGTGGCACACTCACTGCCACCCCAGCGTTGACCTGCTGGGCACTGGCAATCCTTCCACTTCAGCCTTCTAGGTAGCCAGAACTATAGGCGCACGCTACCATGCCTGGCTAATTTTTGACTTATTGTAGAAATGAGGTCTCACCAAGTTGCCTGGGCTGGTCTCAAACCTGCAGGTTCAGGTAATCCACTCATCTTGGCCTCCCAAAGTGCTAGGATTACAGGCCGAGCCACCAAACCCAGCCCGAAAGGTTTTTTGTTTTTTTTGTTTTTTGTTTTTTTTTAAGAGTAAACATTTACATTAACAAACAAGTAGACATTCTTGGAGGCCTGTCAGACCAAGGCATCTGAGCCTGGAAGAGATGCTCAGGCTGCAGAGCCAGACTGCAGAAAGGGTGCTCCCAAAATGGGAGCATCTGTCAGGGAATTGCGCAGACACATAGAAGGCACGTGAGCACAGGGGAAAGCCACCTTCAACTCACTTCATCTAATAGAAACACAAACTTCATGTGAGAAAAAGAAAAGCGAGCAGGAGGTGAAACTTCGGGTCATTTTAAAATTATTTTTCGTTTCTTGAGTCAACTGCTGATGGAGGCAGCTAGCAAAGAAGCCAGTCAGGCTGTTTGGTGATAGCTAGATAAGTAATCAAAGAACATAGTTTCAGTTATCTGTGGATTCTCAACAGACTTAGAGAGCTGACATGTGTGCACACGTGACGGCCTGTCTTTATATCTTGTCTTTCAGGGTCTGTGTTTGTGCCTCTGTCTTAGTTTGTCAGGCAAGTGCTATCTCCTGTACTGGTATGTCTCAGTTCCCTTATTTTGGCCAAACACCCAATCCAGGTTGACTATAAAGATTTCACTCCTTCTCAAATAATCTGAGATAGTTGAATGTCATTTTGGAACAGTGGCCATGTAGCAGCATGTAAGCACTTGGATATTAGACAGCAGAGGGGTGGTAGAGAACAGCAATAGTCTTGGATAGCATATGAAATATGTAGAACCCACTTTGCGTCTAGCTTTTTAGTTTGCTTAAGGCTAACCAGGAGAATAACTCCCAAGAATCAACTTGATCACTTTTAGCTAACCAAGTTTTCCTTTTCTCTCTCTCTTTCTCTGAAATATTTTTACAGGTGTTAAAAGATGAACTGTTATATACATTCTCACTAGACTGTCTAGTGAATAGCTGTGGACACTTCTATTATCTGTGACTCTTTTAGTCAGTAAAAATCTAAAGCTTGAGCTGTCTCATTTGCTTTTGAGCCGTAGTCTAGATCACATGTTTTTATTTAGAAACTCCTAGCTAGGGTAGAAATTTTCATACACACCATTGAAGTCTTTGCTCCTGTAGTCCTTTTTTGATAAATGGCAATTTTAGAGTTTTAACTCATTTGCGACCGTTGACATGTATTTGCATCATTCCAAAGTCAGTTCCTGGTTGCTGCTGACATGAATTTACCTCATTGTGGTTGACTTTCTTTTTGGGTTTGTAATCCAAATAAAAATACAAAGCATGGAATGCTAGTCAGAGTGGTGTCTGAGGCAAATACTGGATATGTCTGCAACTTTTTGCTGTATTGTGAAAAAGGTGACAATTTAGAAAAGACTTTTTCACTTGTGCTTAACTACAGAATTTGTGGTAACCAGCTTCAGATTTTTTTTTTTTTAATTTTCACCTGCAGTCAGTATTAGGAAAATGAAAAATTTGCTGGTTGTGAGTGTGATAATAAGATGTGTTACCTGAAGTTTTTGTTTTGAATGTTTGGAGATACTGGTTGACAAATTTAATGGTGAAGCAAACAGGAAAAAAGGGTTACTATTAAAGGGAAGAAGGGAGAAAAGAAAGAGGCACTAAATAATAAAACTTAAGTCTATTGTCCTATCCTGAGGCTTAGGTCATGGTGTTAGAAGGATGCTGTATTTTCAAGAGACATCACCTAATGGAGGCCTTTCAGTGAGACTTGGGGTCAGCCTCCAAGCAAAGCTGATTCCTCATTGGAGGATTCCTGGTACATGGAAACTGGGGAAGATTTCCTTATGTTTGTATCCTGATGCCTGAAAGTAGTACTTTAGTTAAGAGAGTCTGAAATCTTTTATTCTAGGCTGCTTTGAGGCTGACGTCCATTAAGATTTCTTTAATCAAACTACCTGCTGCCTGTATATCATGTAGAGGTGTGTGCAGTGATGTCTTCTTTGGAAATGTAGCTTTTACCCTTTGGGCATGTGACTGTGTTTAGGATATTAGTTTGTGCTTGAGAAGGTCAGGGTGTTACAGGTTGAGACTTTTAGAGAGGGAACTCAGTCCGTTCCCACATGGTGAGAATTTGTAGGTTTTGAGATATAGAGGAAGACCTTAGGCAAAGAAAAATAGCTCTTTTTGGAAACTTGGACTGTTTTATCATCGGCCTTTAAACAAAGGAAAGCGTCAGTCAACCAAAAAAACTACCTATAAACTATTATTAAGCAGTCATTCATCACATAACGTTTTGATCTACAGTGGACTGCATATACTGTGGTGGCCCCATAGTGTAGCCATCACAGTGTCATAGCAGAATGCATCACCTTCTGTGTTAGATATGCAGATATGCATAGAGACACAAATACTTACCATTGTGTTACAGTTGTCTACAGTCTTCAGCTTCAGAGCAATAGGCTGTACCACATAACCTGTGTGAAGTTGACTGTGCCGTCTAGGTTTGTCTGAATACACCCTATGATGTTCATACAGCAGTGAAATCACCTAATGATGCATTGCTCCAAATGTATCCCCATCATTCCACAATGCATACTGTGTATCTAATGAGGTTCAAGCGGAAGCCCAAAGTCTTGCCCTACATTGCAGTTTTTCATGGCTTGTGATAACTAAAAATGAGGCAATTCTCAGGAACTTCTTGGGCTTCTTAATTAAAATTTTACCACTAATGTTTTTGCAAAGTCTGAATCAATGTACCTATCTGTTGTTTTTCTTGGTGGTGGTGGGTTTTTGTTGTTTATGTGTGTTTGCACATGCATAAGTATCAGATGTGAAGATGATTGTGGGTGAGATCAAGCCAGTATGAGGTATTTAAATAGAATAAAGAGAAAAGATGATGACTAAATTTCTGCACCCCCAACTTTGGGAAAAAAACAGATGAATTGTCCTTATGATATCAATAGTGGAAAAACCTAGAGACAGCCACTTGTTTGCATGAACCACAGAAACCACTTTCCTCAGAATGGGTTTTAATCTTAAAATTGATATTTTTCTTTCAGAAATCTGATTTCCTCTAATAAATCATTAACTTGTTTTTAATGTTTTAATTGGGATAACCAAAAAAGATAGAAAACTTATTTGTAAACAAGCTATCCTCCTGCCTTGACCTCCCAAAGTACTGGAATTTGAGCCACAGTGCCCAGCCTATTTTGAATTTAGAGTGAGAATTTAAGGAGGGAAATAAAAGATTGTCAAAACTGGTTGATTTTTTTTGATCATATAAAGCCTTTTGCCTTTGACCAAGAAATATCTAGTTGTCTGCCTATCAGTACACATTATGTATCCTTTCTATAATTACTTAAGATGGCAAAAATGAACATGTATGTTAATATTATCCAAAGACATTTATGTATCCTTAATCGTCATTATATAACATAAAAATGCAAGTAAAGGATAAAAACGTTTGAGTGACTAGTATTTTAGTGTTTATCTTAAGAAATTGCCCAAATATTCAAAAGTTTTTTTTAAAAAAAATTTGTCTAAGTTCTCGAAGGTGATTAATGGACTGGAAATCACTGCTAAGCCACTCAGAGTGAGTCTGTGAGACATGCAGCATTGTAAGAATTAATCTTTCATCCACTATGAATTTATTTGGTTGAATACATAATTTTATGGTCTTTAATGAAGTAATATTAGTTGTCTGACCAATAAAAATTGTAGAGGTAATTTAGGAAATTCAAAAAAATTAGGTTTTTCCTGAGGTTTGGGTAAACTTGAAAATACTACTAGTATTTTTAGATGATGATAAAATCATAGGGAAGACAGAGCAGGTTTTTTTTTTTAACCAAAATTGCTAAAGCAGACTAATTTGTCAGAGTCATTAGAACTACTATGTGAATTTTTTTTGAAATTAAATATATACTAGAATGCGTAATTTATTTGAAAGTTATTTTTTTTGCTTTTTATTAGGTACCTAGTAACTGAGGCCATTAATTCAACCCACAGTTGAAATGTTTCCCCTTACCAGGCTTAGTGACTCAAGCCTGTAATCCCAGCATTTTGGGAAGCCAAGACGAGAAGATTGACTGAGCTCAGGGGTTCAAGACCAGCCTGGGCAACTTGATGAGACCTTGTCTCTACAATAAAAACTTAGCTGGGCGTAGTAGCATGCGCCTATGGTACCAGCTACTTGGAAGACTGAGGTGGAAGGATCGTCTGAGCCCAGCAGGTTGAGGCTGCAGTGGCCGTGAGCATGCCACCGCACTCCAGGCTGGGTGACAGAGTGAGAGTCCAACTCAAAAAAAATTTTATCAAGAAAGTTTCTCAAAGCGCTAACATGTTTCATACATAAAAAGCAGAGAAAAAAGTAAAAACCTTGTTTTTTAAATTTGCATTTATATGTGTTTAATCTATTATTATTTCTAAAGGCCAATTAGAAGCAGGATTTTACTTCATTATGTATTGATATGCTTGTAATTTGATTTATTCTCTCAATGTAGAAAAGGTTTAATGGTTTATTTGCCTAAAAATTCATATTAATAAAACAAAATTTTTGGTTAGAGAAGCTGTAGTCATGATAAGCAGCAGATATATGGTTGAAACAGAGGCCCTGGTATTTATTGAGAACGTAATTAAAGAACCAGAGTTTGCAAATATACCTCTTCTTGGTAGAATGTTTATGTGAAAGACTGATCTGGTATAATTTACTCAGTAGTCACTAGGGGTTATTTTGTTCTACTCCCTCTGCAGAGTGGTATTTGCTGATGGGACGTGTGCTCAATCCTGTACAGGAATGCAGGACACCTGGGTAGATACTGTGTGCACTAGGACCTTCCCACTGGTTGTTAATGTCTGGCTCTCCTAGTGTAACTGAGCAGTTTGGCATGACCTCACTAATGATTTTCTCTGACTCTTTCAGCGGTTTGCTGCTGTAATCATGAGAATAAGAGAGCCACGAACCACAGCGCTGATTTTCAGTTCTGGGAAAATGGTGTGCACAGGAGCCAAGAGGTAGCCATAAGGAATTCATTCTCCTGGGCTGTGGGTTATGAAAGAAAAGGTGATATCTCTTGGTTTCTAGGTTATGATAGCACTTTGATATGCTGTTACTTTCTTATTAAAATGGTTGATTCTAATCACTTCAGACAGCAGTGATTTCATTTTCTTAAAATCAGGTATGAGTTTTGAACATACATTATGGTTGCATTTTATGTGTTTAATATAACATCAAAAACTATTAATAAAGATCCCTTTATTTAAAAAAAACTTATAATACAAATACCTTTCCAAATTAAAGTTGACCAAGAATTAAAAAATGTAAAAGCTGATGGCGCAAGAACTTCACAGATTATGTTGGCTCTGGCATCTTGACAGCACTGCATATGCTGACCACAGAAACCTGCCATCTCTCCCTTATTTTTTTAAATAGGGAAAGAGTCTTGGTCTGTCAGCCAGGCTGGATTGCAGTGACATAGTCGTAGCTCACTGCAACCTCAAACTCCTGGCCTCAAGTGATCCTCCCAAGTAGCTGGGATGACAGGTGCACCACCTGTCTGGGTAATCTTTTTTTGTGGAAACAGGGTCTCACTATGTTGCCTAGGTTGGTCTTAAACTTCTGGGCTCAAGTGATCCTTGCACCTTAGCCTCCCAGGTGGCTGGGATTACAGGCATGAGCCACCACACACTGCTCAAAACTAGTTTTCATTATGAATGTTTGAACTATTGTAGGTCTTACAGAATGTACCCCTGTCATATCACTGCCTGCATGCTGCATTTCTTTGAAGTGAACCTATCTGTAGGTTAGTACCCTGGACCTCTGTCTGTTCAGCAGAGCCTGCATACCTGGTAGAAGTCAAAAGCCAGGGAGAAAATTCATCACATTAGCTTCATAAAGCCTGAATAAGTAAACTAAAACTTTTCAAATAAAAGATTATTAAAATGTATTTAGAGGTGTAAGCACATAGAGGAAGCTGTGGATGCTTTTGCTTATTCTGAACTTTGAAATTGTCTTTTAATTAGGAGAATGCTATTGGTGTAGACATTCTGGCTCCTGGTCTGGCTCTAGGTCTCTTGAGGTTTTGCAGAAGGCAGGATTTAGATCCATCTTTGGCTTCTATCTCTCCTCAGCCCCCAGATTCAGTAGTAACGCTTTATTTGGGAAGCTTTTTATTTGCTTGTTTTTCCTCTGGATGGAACATCAGAAACTTTTGGTTTATCAACAGATGCCAAGTGTTTCTATTTCTTCCCAAGACAAACTTTTCTTTTCTTTTTTTTCATTTTCTTTTTTTTTGAGTTGGAGTCTCACTCTGTCGCCCAGACTAGATAGAGTGCAGTGGCACGCTCCTGGCCACCGCAGCCTTGACCTGCTGGGCTCTGCGGATCCTTCTGCCTCAGCCATCCAAGTAACTGAAACTATGTGAGCTACCACGCCCGGCTAATTTGATAAGCTTTTCATGTAGCATTTAGCCCTCTTTGTCCCAAGCATATGCCACCTGAATATCGTATATCTAGTTGGATAACTATTTTATCAAGACAAGAAACCACAAATGAATGTATTTTCCTGAGGAGGGGAAAGCACTGCATGTATGTATACTTAGTTTTTGTCCTTCCTGATCTCCTGGGCTTTAGAATCTTTTGTTTGTGGCATATTGTTTGCATTCTGCTTTTCTTATAAGCTCAAAGTTGCTAAGTCACAATTCTATCCAACAAATGACATCATAGGAATATGAAGAGATAGAGACTTAATATGAAAGAGGACAGAATTAGAGAATGCATTCTTCATTGATAAATCAAATCTTATCAGTATTTTCCTCTCAAAGCAAAGTTTGTTACTTTTCATCTCAATAGAAGTATATGGGCTAGGCTGGGCACTGTAGCTCATGCCTATAATCACAGCACTTTGGGAGGCAGAGGTGAGAGGATTGCCTGAGCCTGAGGGTTCAAGACCGGCCTGGGCAAATTGACGAGACCTCATCTCTACAGTTTAAAAAAAAAAAAAAGCCGGGCATGGTGGCACCTGTAGTTGCAGCTACTTGGAAGGCTGAGATGGAAGGATCACCTGAGCCCAGCAGGTCAAGGTTGCGGTGGCTGAGAGTGTGCCACTGCCCTCCAACCTGAGTGACAGTGAGATTCCAACTCACCAACAAAATAAAAGTACTATATAGGCTAAAATATAAAAAGAGTAATGTTGATGAGAATATCACACTCCATTCATAAAATCTAGGTCTGTCAATATTTTGGTGAATTAAAAGGGTGATCATTTTGGTAGGCCTACAGTTTTCTGTCAAGAACGCAGGAATAGTTTATAGTAAAATTGTTAATCTCTGTCAATCTTTTCTCTTGGAGTGGGGGTGGACCAGTTTACACTGTGTTTATTGGTTTACTAATTTAGACTTTTTATAAGTTATTCATCTAATAATTATTTTAACTGTCTTTGAGTATAAATAACTTACTTTTTTTCCTTTCACTAGTGAAGAACAGTCCAGACTAGCAGCAAGGAAATACGCCCGAGTTGTGCAGAAGTTGGGCTTTCCAGCCAAGTTCTTGGACTTCAAGATTCAGAACATGGTGGGGAGCTGTGATGTGAAGTTCCCTATAAGGCTAGAAGGCCTTGTGCTGACCCACCAGCAGTTCAGCAGGTAAGTCTGAAGTATATTTCGATTGCTTTTGGCAACAGTTCACTGATAATCTGTTTAGATACTCTTCAGTATAAAATGCATGCAAAATACTCAGTATATAGGACTAGTGTTATGACTATAGGCATGTGCGCTACAGCCATTTCTTCCCAGTATCCTTTGCAATATCTGTCACTATCACCAGCCTCCTGCTTTCCATGTCACTCAGTGATTCCGCTTCTGTATGTTTTATTGTTTTATTGCTCAATGAATACATTTTATTTATTTTTATTTTCTATTTTTTTTTTTGAGTTGGAGTCTCACTCTTTCACCCAGACTGGAGTGCAGTGGCTGCTCCTGGCCAACACAGCCTCGGCCTGCTGGGCTCCGGCGATCCTTCTGCCTCAGCCTTCCAAGTAGCTGGAACTACAGGCGTGCGCTACCACACCCGGCTAATTTTTTGATTTATTGTAGAGATAAATCACCAAGTTGCCCAGGCGGGTCTCGAACCTGTGGGCTCAGGCAATCCACTCACCTCAGCCTCCCAAGGCGTGGGATTACAGGCTGAGCCACCGAGCCCGGCTGCTCAGTGAATACATTTTAAATGCATGAATTGAATCTACAACTTCATGTATCAGTTCTTTTTCCCAGTTTGAATCTTTTCTTTTAATCAACATCAGGCCAGATCCACCTGCAAAGTGTAAAGTGGAGCAATAGGAACATTCTTTCCAGTTATCTTTCCTGCCACTTTGAGGAAGACTCACAGGCATGCAGCTCTGCCCACCGGGAGCCTTGTCTCACCTGTTTTCTGCTCTGCTGACTGGCACACCAGCTCTCCATGCCCCTCAGACTCACTGTGCCCTCTTGCCCTGGGCATTTTCACATGCCACTGTTCTAAGCACACTGGCACACTCTGGCTTCACTTTTCACCCAGGAATTTCCCACCCACACCACTCTTCCTCAAGAGAAACCTGTCCTGAATTTTCCCAAGTCATCCTTTTTACAGTCTCTCTGAAAGAACAAAAATGAGATTACTTGGATTAGAATAATATGTACCAATAATCCACCCAGTTAGACAACTTAATTGGGTTTGGGTTCATTCTCAGGCTAATTAGTATCTGTTGTAGCACTTTGATTAAGTTACCTGGTCACAATTAACAGCTAGAGAATATTTCAATTTAAGAAGATGAGATATCAGAAATGAACAAAAAGAAGATGAGATATGATTAAAAGGTAAAGTGTCTTTATCAGATCTTAGAAATAAATGAATACTAGGGTTTATAAGTCAATATACCTAACTTGTCCAGAATGAATCTTGACAAGGATCAGAGACTGATAAACATAAATGCAAAGCTCTTGTTCTTATGTCAGAAAATCCAGATTCAACAGAAATGAGGTAAAGAGATATAAAGACAAATAGCCTCCTGTCAAGTAGTCATCAAGGGACAGTCATGCATCAGCCCCTTTGCGTTAAGCACTTTCTCCTTTGATGCTGCTTGGAGAATGGCGCTTTACCTGTTGATTAACTTGCTTGTTTATTCAATATTTTATCTTGTACAGGTCCTAAATTTATCTAAAAGCATAGGAAGCTGTTTATTTCTAAACTTTTTTTGCCATTTTTTCTCTTCTAGCTATGAGCCAGAGTTATTTCCTGGTTTAATCTACAGAATGATCAAACCCAGAATTGTTCTCCTTATTTTTGTTTCTGGAAAAGTTGTACTAACAGGTAAGCTGTAACAGGAATCAGGCCTTAAAGTTGGAAAGAATTTCAAGGATGGCATTTTCTCAGTGCTTAAAAGAAATTCCCCAGCATTGGGACAGTGGGCTGGCTTCTTGTCTGAAGGCCTTCCGCCATGACAGCAGTGAGAAATATGCCCACCAGAGGGACTGTGAAAGCAGGGAAGTCCAATCACACACCTGCTGGTCCTCCAGCCAAAGCAGACCTCTGCTTTCAGTGGAGAGGGGAAAGGTGAGCATGGCACTAAATAAGAGAGGATGTTTTTGCTTGGAATTAGTTCTCTGAAGCTTTGGAGTCTTCAGCAGTATCATTATGAGACACAAAAGGAAGATTCAAAACAGTTTAGTTGAAGGCAGCAATTGGCATATAAGATTCAGTCACTCTCATTGCTCTTATGCTCAGTTTGTATTCTGGTTCAGGACCAAGGAGAGGGTGTAAGGACATGCCTGGCTAGCTGGAGCTTGGAGGTTGGAGTCCCCTGGTGCACTGCTTTTGTAATGAAAACAATCATTTTAAGAAAATACTGTTTTATGAGCAAAAATAAGATTGTAACAAAGTGTCCTACCCTTAATGTTTTAATATCTGTGTCTGTTACTCTGCATATTGAGAGAATTATGCTTGCAACTTTGTTTTAAGGTAATACTTTTACCTTTTTAAAAATGTTAAGAAATGCCATTTCAGAGTCTCATCTCCACTCTGACTTGTCTTCATAGGTGCTAAGGTCAGAGCAGAAATTTATGAAGCATTTGAAAATATCTACCCTATTCTGAAGGGATTCAGGAAGACAACGTAATGGCTGTTATGTGCCCCTGCTCCCCCACCCATGTGGTTTGTAAACAGATGAGTTTTGGTACCTTTATGTGGTATGTTGGGAGAGGATGGATGTTGAGTTGCAGGCTGCGGCACCAGGTGATGCTCTTACATGCCTACCGCTGAATACACGCCCACCGTGGGGTACCATGAAGGGGCGTTATTTGTGCACTGAGAACACCATGCAGCATGACTGTGAGTTGCTCATTCTGTGCTGCTATTTGGGCAGCACTGCCCATTTATTTATATGTAGATTTTAACACTGTTGTTGGCAGGTTGCTTTAAGGGACAAAACTTTTAAGTGTTAAAGCCACCTCTGCAATTGATTG